CGGGTGGTGGAGAAGCAAGTGGGGATACAAATGGAAAAGAGGAAGATGAGGTCGAACCGGACTCGGATGAGCCACTTGACGCGCAGTGATCGTCCCAGTTGACCGGGCGAAGGCGGAATTGTTCGCGATCCGTGATGGTAGAAGAAGGGATGCCTTTTGTGGGCCAATGCAGGAGAAGGGTTGAAGTAAGGACTCGCCGGTTCAGAGGCTTACAATGAGAGAGCTTGTAGTCTCTTCTCTACCCTCGCGGTGGGCTCCAGATGATGTGCAGTCAACTCCGCGAAGAGTCAAAAGTGATGAGGGCGAGTGAGCGAGCCCGAGTAAGCGTGAGACGCGGGAAGTCGGAGAGTGAAAGAAGAGAACAGCTACGACGCGCCGCGTGAGGAGCGAGCGCGAAGAGAGAATAGATCGGGGGATCGCGCGAGCGCGAGGAGGACGAGGAGGGAATAGACGCGGGGTGAAGAGACGAGATCGCGCGCACGCGCGGCGCTGGCGAAGGCGAAGGGAATCGAAGTCGTGGGCGAAAGCGTGGGCGTGGGCGTGGGCGTGGGCGAAGTCGAAGTCGAGGTCGAAGGCGAAGGCGAAGGCGAGACGAGGTGAGCACACAGCACGCACAGAAAGAGCGGGAGAGTGAACTGAGCATCAATAAGCAAAAACGTGAGCCTAAGTACATGCGACGCACGGGGCGAGTATGTAGACAGATCAATGTACAGTCCGAGACCCGAAAATGTACGAAATCGAGACCGAGAATGAAGGGGAAGTGGATACGAGAATACGAAATGTACGAGATGTAGAACAGGAGGACATACTAATCGTGTAAGAAGAGGAGGGGAATGAAGATGAGGAAATGGACGAGGTCGGCGTACTGTAGAGGAGGTGGATCGGGTGCGTGCCGTGCCGGCCTCGGTCGTGCGTGAACTGCGGCGTGGTGTGTCCGTAGGCGTCGCGCCTGGCCTGGAATGCTGGAGCGTCGATATGGAATGCTCGCGGACTGATCGCGATGGGTGCGCACGGCGGAGAGGTCGAGGTACGTGAGGACGAGCGAGGTCGAGGTGGACGGCGACGCGCAGGCGCTAGTGTAGTCGCGGTGCACCGTACAGCGGCGGTGCGTGCGTATCAACGCGCGGGAGTCAGCACCAAGCGATACGAGCTCGCGGAGCGCTTTGAGCGGATGACGTGCACCCCGTCTCCGTCCTCTGTCTCGAGACGCTGCCCACGGACATGAGCGCTTGAGCGTCGCCGTGCGTATGGAAGCATAGGACAATCTGCAAGCGCCGATGACGACGCGCCTGCGGACCGGTGATGTGCATCCACCGCCGCTGGTACGTGCACGCGTCCGTCAGACGCCCGCGCGAGATCCGCGCCCTCGCGCACTATACATCCTCGTCCCGCGCATCCTCGTCCCTCATCCCTACGGTACACCACACCGACCCTCGCGATCGCTCCGCTTCATAGTTAGCTACACACCCACACACGTTTCTTCTCCCTTTTCGCCCCTTCGTATCCCCCATTCCACGGCCTCCATGGTCAGCCACACTCGTTGCCCCGCTCCGCCACTTGTTGCTCTTATCTTCCGGACGCTCGCCATGACACTCAGACTTGTAGACAGGTTTCGGGTGCTCGTTTCGGTCGTAGTCACACTCTCGCGCGGGCCGCATTTGCATGTATTTAGACTCGACTCGCACTGGTTGCTATCCAGTTCATTTTCCCTCGCATCTACGTGCGTGTGCTGTGTGCTCACCCCTCGACTTCGTATCTATTCGACCTCGCCTCTACCGTATCGTCTTCGTCGCCTATCGCCCTTCGCCGTCGCCCATCGCCCGTCGCCCATCGCCTATCGTCTATCGCCGTCGTAGCGCCCGTGCGCGCCCTCTCGTCTCGCGTCTATCGTCTCTCTGCTCGTCTTCCTCTCCTCTCCTCCGCGTTCGCGCACTCCGTCCCCTTCCTCCTCCGCGACACCCTCGGACGTCCTGTCCCACGGTGTTCGTCCCCTCTACCGACTTCCCGCGCTTCACGCCTACGCGGACTCGACCTCAGCCCTCTCCCCTTGTTGACTCTTCCCGGAGTTAGCATCACATCACCGGCGAGCGCCAGACGCCGGATCCAACACCCGCAGGCCGGAGGCGCAGGCATCCAGCCTCGTCGACTGAGCACGGCGCTGGGACAGCGTGGAGGCAGGCGGGACCGTGACGCCCGCCGGACACATGGGTTGGGCTGGGACCCGGCGAAGCCGGGCGCGGACGCGACGCGGAGCGAGCCGCCGGGTGGGCGGGCTACTCCGCGCCGCGATTTGTTGAGGGTGTCCGGCGTGCGTTGCTTAGGCTAGTAGACGGACGAGCAATGTGATGCTAGAGGGTTGTCTACAACAAACACGGCATATATAATAGGGAGAGGTGGGTGGGTGCGATAACGGGGTGGATGCTTCTGCGTGGTAACGGATGACGGCGAGATGCAGGGTCGACGAGAGACGCCCAGCACTGTGAGGAACGGGGAAGAAAAACTGCTCAGAGCGCTTGCGGCTCAGTGCTCGTCTGGACGCTGGGGACCGACCTCGTGACCTCGGCCAGTACCGGCACTAATCCAGCCTCGTCGACTGAGCACGGCGCTGGGACAGCGTGGAGGCAGGCGGGACCGTGACGCCCGCCGGACACATGGGTTGGGCTGGGACCCGGCGAAGCCGGGCGCGGACGCGACGCGGAGCGAGCCGCCACCCCATCCAGTCCGCCGAGGACTAACTGCAGCCGCTCCGTGCCGCCTAGCCCAACCCCAACGAGGCGGACGGTTCGTCCTTCGCCCGACCGAGGCCACTGGGCTCGCCCGACCCGATGTGCTTCGACACGACTAGCTCGAAGGAGCGCACGTAGACCTGATAGGCCAGCGATCGCCAACAGCCCATCATCTGCACCACATCCGGTGGCGTGCCCTTGGCGAGATAGTGAGACGCGCCGCCGATGCGGAACGAATGTCCAAACGCGCGGCCCGAACTGCTTGTTGCAAGCCTCTCATTGATGGACCGCAGTGCGGCGCTCCGTGTCATGGGCCGTATCGCGCCGGTCTTGAGATCGCGCCAGCAGAACAAGGGATCGTCGTCCAGGGCGGGCATGACAGTCATCAAGTTGCGTACTGCCGCCAGTGGACAGAGGGACGACTGAGGTACGAGGAAAACGTGCTGGACTTCGCCGGGCTTGGCCGTCTTCGCGCTCGGCAGGTCAAGGCGCAGGTATTCAGCGCCTAGCGCGTCCGTTTTGAAATGCGCGCGCGCGCGCGTGAGGTGTTTGTTCGGGTCGAACGCGCTCCGCGACTTGACGGTCGACTCCCCGAATCGCATGAGACCCCAGAATGAGCAAGCTGCGATGGCCCAGAGGCACGCGTCGTATGGGTCGTCGAGCCGCAGTGCGCTTTGCAGCGCTGATAACATTGCGATTGTGACCGGTGGACGCGGCGGCTTCGTGCGCGACGCTGCTTGGACGTTCTCGATGCCCCGCAGAGACCACTCCAGGCGCGTTCGCTCCGCTTCTGTCAGAGGCTCCAGCCAACCCTGCGTGATGTGCCACGCGCGCACCCCGGCAAGGTACTTGCGCACCGTGCTGACCGCTACTGGCTCCAGTTTGATCCCGAACCGCAGAGCCAGAGGTCCGACTTCAGTGTTGACTGCCGGGTCGGCTGTCGCCCAGAGTGCGAAGGAGTGGAGGACGGGAAATGAGGCCGGCAGGCGGTCCGCTTCGGGAATGCCGAAGATGTCGCAGAAGGTGTGGAACTTCTTGACTGCGGCACCGTACCCTGGCCCCGTCGCATCGCGCAGCGAAGAGTCTGCCGCGATCTGCTCCATGCGGTCCAGAAAGGGGTGGCGAACCGTGATTGGGGGCGCTACATTGGGACCAGTCCATTCGAAGATCCGTCGGGCAGCTTGAACCTCTGGTCGCAGAGCGGCAGTGGTGGGTCCCGCAGTGGGCGCATCCGAGCCCGCTGGCTCTTCTTCAGCGCACTGCCATTCGATCGGAGAAGTGTGCGCCATCAAGACCACCTCACAAGCAGGTCTTGCAGGTGCGGTGGCGTCGAGAAGGAGCTGGGCGTACGAGCGCCAGGGAACCCAGCCAGGAACGCGGGGACGTCTCCGCGCGAGAGCGCGTCGGCGATGTTGTCCCGGGTGTTGACGTAGGTGGCCTCTAGTGATACCCCGTGCCGTGCTTGGAACAAGCACAATCGGCGCACCACCTGGTTGGTGCGCTCGGAGAAGGCTCTGCCCGCGTTGACCACTGAAACCACCGCTGTGTTGTCCGAGCGCACACGGACGACACGGGAGCCAGGGGGAAGCGTCCCGAAGAGGTTGTGGTGCTCCGCAATTTCGCCCCCGAGTTCGACTGCCACTGCCTCTGCCCAGGTGATGTCGTAGTCCCCTCCTGGACCGACTCGCACTCCTGACGCGTACCGCCATACGGCCCAGTAGCCGCCGACCACCACTCCTATTCCGAAGGACATTGAGGCATCGCCCCACCAGCCAATGTCCACCGGTTCCGGGCGTGACAGTGGGAGGGTGTTGGGGAGGTGTGCGAGGAGGTCGATGATCCAGCGGAGGTCCGCCTGGACGCTGCGTGGCAAATGAAGGCTCGCGCGTGGGCTGTTGAACTTCTTGATCCATGCGGGGATGGACTGGATGAACGGGCGGATCAGGCGGAAGATGGTCGCCGTGTGGATGAGCTTCCCCTGTAGTGACATGGCCTCCTGCTTGGTCTTGTGTGCGCCTGGCTGCAGCCAGTTGTCGACTAGCGCGAGGATGGCTGCGCGCTTCTCCTCTGGCAGCGACACCGTTCGTGCGGCCAGGTCCCAATCGAAGCCAGTGAAACGCTGCACCAACGCGAAGGGACGGAGCTTGGGGATACTCCAGGGGACCCCTAGCCGCGCTGTGATGGCCATAAAGTCGCCCTCAGTGAACTCGCTCCCGGGCAGACAGATGACGAAGAAGTCGTCCACCCACTTGACAACGTAACGGATTCCGTGAGCGCGGTAGATGTCCACCAGCATGTCGGCAATGGACCCAAACACACCCGCACTTGAGGCGAGGCCAAAGCACAGCGCGCGGTCGACGCAGACCTTCCCTTCCCAGAATACGCACAGCGCGTTCTGCTGTGACGGACGCACAGGTGTGATTCTGTACGCTGCTGAGATGTCGAACGTGGCCGCGCGACAACCGGCTGGCAGGGCGAGTATCATCTTGCTGACGACGTCGAAGGTTCCCCACTCCGTTGGGAAGCAGTCCGCATCGACATGTGAGTTCACGGAAGCACCGGGCTGCCAGGAGAAATAATAATGCGTATGGTTAACGCGCGATTCACGGGGCTACACAGAAAACGAGTCGTACGATATCGCGGGGGAATGAGAGGTCTTGTATCAATCGGAACTTGTCCGAGTGCGGCTTCGGTACCAGACCGAGAGGCGCCGTGCGAAAGTGTCCAATGGCGGCCTCCAGCTCCGCGGGCTCGAATGCGCGAGAGTACCGTCCTGCGGCCTGCTCGTCCGCGATGTATGAAGAGATGAAGGAAGGGGAAAGGAGGGATGATTTATGGTTGGGGTATATCGTCGTGCTCGTGATTCGGCCCTCCTCCTGAACCCCGACGTCGAAGCCCTCACGGAGTCCCCGCACCACATGCCCCCACTTCTGCATGATGCCCAGGCGCCGCAGTTCTTCCTCAACGCGATCAGGGTTGATGGGCGACACGACCGCGCGGGGCGCTTCAGTTGCGGCGAGGGTTGCACGCAGCCGCGCCATGTCTGGTGTCTCCACAGATGCTGCATCCGTGGTAGTTGACGCAGGCGGCACCCTGGGCACACCCGGTGTTGCCGCCACGGGCGAAACCGAAGCAGAAGGCGGTGTTGTCGGGTGCGATGAGGGCATGGGGGCTGCGGCCGCCAAGGAGGCGGGGAGCGGTGGGCCGTCCGGTAACAGTGGTGGCGGCGACGCAGGCGGATGGCATGTGCCCGGTCCCGCCGCACCGAAAGCACCGGCTCTCGACACGGGCCCGTTTGCGCGGAGCGTCGTCGTAGGGCGCCGCGCGCGCTGTACCGGTGGTGGTTGCGCCATAGCCCGCGCCGTAGCCCCTCCCTCCTGCTCCGACATGAGTGCGCTGGCCTTGCTGGGGCAGCGCCTGGAAACGCGCGTCGATCTTCTTCTCCGCCACGGCGTTCAACGCGATAGCGAGTTGTACGGGGTCGTTGATGCCGATGTCGACGTACGGAGACATGACCCAGATGCGGCGCATCTGCGAGTCGTATCTGAGTGCGGCCTCCCAGCTGTGGTCCGCGCCAATGCCTTCCACGATGGTGTGATGCTTTCTCAGCACTTCGGCGCGTGCAGGCCCGTGGTGTGTGTCCGTGCACCTCTCGACTGCCTTCGATGCGACGGACCACTTCGCGCAATCCAGGGAGAGTTCTCCGGTTGGGTCGAGTGCGCTTGAGGCTGTGAGGACCGAGGCGAGGGTGGTCTCTTCGCGGTGGGTGAAGGCATTTTCGGCCACGACGTGTGTGTACGGCGTGTACTGACCGGCCTTGATTGCGCAGTCCACCTTCGGGGGAACCCCTAGCCATGGGCACGTGGTCAGCAACCATGCAATACAGGTTCGAGACGAGCGAGACGGTGTGCGCGAGATGGGTATGCGAGCGAGCGAGCGAGTATGTGCGTGTGCGAGCGAGCGTGCGTGCGTGCGTGCGTGCGTGCGTGCGTGTGTGCGAGTGTGCGAGAATGTGCGGATGCTCACCTCTTATTACTCCGCCTGCTTGCAGTCCGGGCACTACGTCGGGCAGCCTCGTGGCTCTGGGGACGATGTTCGCCTGCAGGGCGGCCTGGGCGAGACGAGCCTCCGGCGTCTCGAACACGAACTCTTCAGCTGCGAACTGTGGGATGCCTGCGGCCGGAGCCGCTGCCGCGAGAGCTGAGACCGTGGCTTCCGATGTCGGGGGAACGGTAGTCGGGGGTGTGTTGGCCAGGGGGTTACTGATGGGCGTGGGGACTGGGAACGTGCCCGCGACGGTTGACGTGGCCGTGGGCGCGCTGCCCACCCCTGCGGCAGGAAGGCCGGCAGAGGAGGGCGATGCTTTGTGCCCACCGCCGCCCAGCAGACGGCTCACGCCCGCGATGATGAGCTCGTTCTGATCTATGATGACCTGCGTGGCCGGAATTGCGGCGACTTGCTTGGTCGTTTTGGGTGCCGTGGTGGCGGTCGGGGCGGTCGAAGTCGCGACTTGAGTAACCGGGGGCGTGGCCAGCTGCGCCGGAGCTGCGGGAGCGCTGGGCCCAGCCGCCTGCGCGGCTCCGCTGCCGCTCGGGTCCGAGCTACCTTTCCCGGTGCTGTCGACCACGGGTCTACTCGACGCGGTCTTCGTTTTGGGCTTCTCAGCGCCTCCGCCTTCGGGCTGCGTGGTGGCGTTGGTGGCGTTCCTGCCGGCGACTCGTGCAGATGACCTCGGTCTGCTGGTGGGCACGTCTTGCGGCGTTGGCAAGCCAGGGTCGCCCTGGGGAATCCGCAACTTGGTGGGATCGTTGACGTTGTCGGCCATTTTGACGGTTTGAGCGATGGTGGAGCTGGCTGACAGCGATAACGGGGTGGATGCTTCTGCGTGGTAACGGATGACGGCGAGATGCAGGGTCGACGAGAGACGCCCAGCACTGTGAGGAACGGGGAAGAAAAACTGCTCAGAGCGCTTGCGGCTCAGTGCTCGTCTGGACGCTGGGGACCGACCTCGTGACCTCGGCCAGTACCGGCACTAATGCTACGCTCTCTCCTGCTCTTCGTCCATACTTCTCCAGCTGCCTCAAGCCTAGCGCCTCTTCCCTGGACGCAGGCGACACGCTCTCGTTTCTTCTCAGCGGTCCTCGTGTGGTCAAGTTCCGACCCTTTGAGACCAGCATGAGTCGTCCTTAAAGGGTGCGTTTTTTTTAGTTTGCGTATCGCTGCGTCCACAGATACCGAACATGCGGTTTAGCCATCTCGCTGGCTCTTGAAGCTTGAAAGCAGAGGCCCACTCGCCACCTGTCATCGAATCTAGCTCGGTACGTATATGCCATTGTCTTAATTCTTTGTCAGGCCCTCTGAACTCCGGTGCCGCTCAGGACTGTCGGCCGCCTCGTCGGTGAACACCCACTCTTCCGCAATCATACGGCGGGCTGGGAAGTTTGAGCGAGAGCGTACGGTTGGCAGTGACTGAGGCCAAGGGTGAGTCCACAGCTGTGCCCTCTCCCCACACCGCGATCAACGCCTACCCTGCCCTGTGGTTGATGTCGATTGCTTACCGTCGCAATCGCCGCGTCCTCTCAGACGTGCGCGCTCTCCCTCTTTCATAGTTTGTCCGCCATCGGCAGGCGATGCCAGTCGTACAGTCGCATCTTCAATGCCTCATCGAAATACACGACATTGTCAACATTCATGAGCGTCGACTTGTTCAGCGTGTACGTCGCTCGGGAACCCTTGGCGGCTGCATTCAGGAAGCGGTCCAGTGTTGAAGGTGAGTTCTGATCATCTTTTTGGTTACCGCGTCCCCTGGTCGGCGCTCCTCTCCAATATACATGTTGCCGTGCGGTTGCTGACGCGGTTTTAAGGAATCTTTAGTTTCGAAGAGGTCTCGCTCCCGGACAAGACTATGTCGCTGCGTATGCTGCCTACGAGCCGGAGTGGCGGACACTCCCGTAGCCTCCTCGACGGCTCAACCCGAGGATGGAAGGGCAGTCAACGGTTGCAGAAGAGCTTGCTGCGTTTTGGCCTCGCGCGACTACTGAGAGGTGTGTATTGTGCTGACAATGTTTCTATTCCGTCCACACCTATAGTTTCGCTCTTCCCCAGGTCTATAATGGAGACGATACTGCTTCCAACCATGCCGTGGTACGTTGCTTCGATCTTTTGATGCTCGATCCACTTTCTAACATATCGCGAATAACGGATGTTCATCACCCTTGACAGCCGTTGACTAACGACTCGCGCGGAGGACTCTGTTGGCAGCTCGAGCACGGATGATCGATATCATCGCAGTATTCGATTGTCGCATCCCCGGTCGCTGCCGCGGAAGAAGTTGTCGCTTCTACTGGCGTCGCGATCCTTGCGAAGGCCAATACTCCCGTGCACCTCCACCGCGCAGCCGGGGTCCGGCGGAGCGGCAGGTTCATCGCCATCGACGCCGTCAGGCACCAGATGTACAAGACAAAGGAGGGCGAGGTCGAGGGCCCCGTCATCTCGCAAGCCGCGTCGGAATTCCAGGCACACTACGGTGTGTCCGACGAGTACCGCAGAAGCTCCAGCGTCCTCAGCGAGGCCCCCACCGACGCGATGGATGTCGATCCCACGGCTCCATCTAAAGGCCTAGCGATGAAGGGCGAAGCAAAGCTCACGATTCCGGATTCTGTCGGCGACTGCGAAGTTGATAAACATGTCGCCGGCTTCACCCCGGACTCCATGGATGTCGAGGCCCGCTCCCGTCCGGCCCCTGTCTCCTCCAAGCCCACACGCTGCCGCGCTCGTCCGACGCGGTCTCGCCCCCGATAGTGCAGGCTCCGCCCGAGCTCTTGGAGGAGGTCCGTCGTGCGGCGATGGGCGTGTCGCCGGCTACCCCCCGCACACCAGCTGCCGCATTCTGCCCGTCAAGGACCAGTCGCACGTGTTCGAGCGGTGGCAACAGCGGCGGCTCCGCGGGTCGGAGCAGTGGGAACGCGCGAACCTCCCCGTCCGGCGGCCAAGCTTGCCAGCGGTGAGCGCGTTGGACGGCCTCCCGAGCTCCGCCATCGGAAGGACGGGCGGTTGGTGCGTCAACATCCGGAATCGGCGTCGACTAGCGCAAGTCCTTGTCCAGGCTCGTCGACGCCCGCGCCATCACCGAGCAATGCGATTTCTACCCCGTCTTCGCCGCCGCAGGCCGAAGCGTCTTTATCCTCGGGCCTGTCGCTCGCCGCCCAGCCGCAAGGGGTCCACTCATGGCGCTCGGAACTCCAGTCGTCGAACGAGGGGCACCCGCCCTCGCCCCCTGCAGTGCTCGCCGCTGCCGCGGGTTCTTCCTCCCCTCTTCCTCATTCTCCCAATGAACCATCACCAACAATCCGCGGGAGGCGTTCCAGAACCCCGGTGGCTGCCCCTCATCTGATGGCACGACGCACGTCTCAGAAGCATCTCCCTAGCCGCGCAAGCCGCACTCGGACTCGTCGCCGCCGTTGCTATTGACGTCCAACTCCGAGCCGATCCGGCGTGTGATCGAGGACATGCGCAAGCAGCGGATGAGCCTCTGCCAGAGCTTCTGTGCTCGTCGCGCGATCACCGGGGCTCTTTAACGGTTGTCGACAAGGAGGAGCGGCAGGTGAAGCTGTTGGAGTTCGGCGCCAGAGGTGCAACCTCGGGCCCTTGCTTGGGTAATTGTGTAGCGACAGTGCTCGTCATCGCCTGTACCGTACGCTACGCGTTTGCTCCTATCCACCACCATCTCCCATGCATCCGCCGTCCGTCCGCTTGTCCCCGGTGCCCAGAGGAGCCCAAGCGCGACGCTCTCACCCTCCGACATGTCCCGATCGCGTCCTGCGACCCCGAAATCCTATAGAAGCACCGTGCGCCCATCCGCATCCGCATCCTCAGCGGGACCGTCTCCTCTAGCCCCCTCGACGCGGCTTCAGCCCACCCTCGCCGCTCAACGTCAACTGGGCACGCCCAACCCAGCGCACCCTCCACCGCCTCGCGTCGACCTTTGCGCCCGACGCAGCGGACCCCGCGTACCCTGCGAGCTCCGCGCGCGTGTTGTTGGAGGAGCGGAATGTTTCGGAGAAGCACCTTGGCGACCTCGCGTCCGACGCAGGCGCGAGCCCTGGACGGCAGAGGGGCGTGGTTCCGAGTGCCATGCATCGACAATAGATCTAGCAGTCTGCAGCCATACCTGATAACCTTGGGCACAAATGTGTCGTACCAATCGCAAGCATCATGAAATGCTATGGTTCAGCGTGGCAGAGCCACTCGGGTCTCGGCGGACGCATCGCTCGCGAGTCGCAACGCTGGTCGACGTCTCTGACGTCATCGCTCGGATGACACGACAGCACCGATAGACGCCGCATCCAGTCGCAGCGCGCGCGTCGGGCGGCCTCCGCACCCTCGCCCTCGCCCGCACGACGCCGCGGAGGGGATGAAGCATGCCGGTACGTCAGCTCACGCCCTCGCTCTTGCGTTCCTCCCCGCGCGTCTTTCGCTCGGGTGCGTCCCTTCCGATGCCCCCACCGGGATGCACTTGTAATATGGAAGGCGTCGACGGCCATAGCATGTTTCTGGAGGGTAGATGGCGCTGGGGTTGTGTTCTGGAGGAAGGGGCACTCTGGTGGCGGACAGGGGTCTAGCATCCTTGTTCTGTGGACAAGTGATGGTGAACCAGGCCGCTTGAGGAGTTCTGCACGGGCTCAATACGTGCCAGAAGGACTCTAGGAGGAATGGCGACGGTTCTGACGACGTCCCACAGACGCGATCCAGATTCCCTATGCTGCGGTGCGCGCAAGTTCGGGCTCAAGACACGCTCGCGTGCAGACATGAAGATCCGGGCGGAACGACGATTCCGCAGGAACAGATCAGGCGCTGCCAGGTGTGTGCGGCTGTGGAGATCTCGCCCACCAAATATTGCTCACACCATCGCTTCTCAGCATTCGCGACGCCTACCACGTTCAAGACCGTCGTCTTGTGGTCCGAAATTCAATCTACGACGTCAATTTCATGCGCAGGCCGCGGGACCGAGCGAGTGGAAAGAAGAAGCTGACGCAGCCGCATGGGGCACACCCCCCGACAGGCTAGCCCCATCAGTTGCTTAAATTGAGCACACAACCCGACCACGTGGCATCGCGAATCCCTCGCGCCCTAGGTCGCCGGAGTACACCCGCCTCGATGGACAGTGGCGATGCTTCGCGAACTGCGCGTTGCTGGAGACTCGCCTTGCCCCGTATTCTGTGAACAGGAGAGCAGAAGCGTCCGCTGAATCCCTCTTAATCCCAACACACGTTCCCCTCGACGCCCCTCCCGACCGTCCATCTTCCCGCTGAGCGCACTGTCACCGTCACGCACTGCCCCCGCTGACGCGCCGTGCTCGCCCTCCTCGACGCCCTTCGCCTCCCAGCCGACGGGCATCTCTCCGCCGGGCTCATCCAGCCGCTCCCCAAGCCCGCCACCACCGTCTCAACGCGCCTCCGATGTCCACGCGCGTGAGCCTCGACGCCTTGCATGACGACCTCACTCTCCTCGTTACCTCCACCTCCGGCCCGCACACTTGACGCGCGCGCCTTACCAGCGCACTGGCACGAGCGTGGCCCCCCCTCCCCTTGCTCCCTTCCGTGTGCGCACTGCGCCTCCACCTCGAGATCGGTGCCGAGCTCAAACACAACCGCGCTCGACGCCCTCACCGTGAGCCTAGGACACTCTCCGCGACGACTCCCAGCGGGCTCCGCCACCGCCGCATACCTGCGCGTGGCGCGAGCCGAGCCGGACGTGGGGGAGGCGGTCTGCCCGGCCCTACGCATACTCGTGATCGAGCTGTACCCGCCGCCGATGCCGCGGGCGCGCGGACGTCGTCGCGCTCGACGGCTTCCCTCGCATCCTCCATCCACGATCCCTCGAGAAGCTCACCCAGACTCCACCTCTGGCGGTTGACGTCTGTTGATATCCGAACGACCGAATGAAGCAGGAGAACTGCGTCACCCAGCGTGTACGTTGTATGCTCTCTGAAACATCAGTGAATGATGTGCGGTTATACAATATTTCAATAGGTCGTGCCCTACGTCTCGTCCCACCATGTACACCTGTAGCTATGACCTTCTAACCAGACGCATCTGTCCACGACGCCCCTTGCGCTTATACAGCAGGATGTTTGCTTGCAGCGTTTCTCTACCCAACGAACTAGGGGAGAACGATAACATGATCCCCAAAGACCCATTATGTGCGCGGCGCTTCACTGGCCACGGTTCGTGCATGTCGATATGATCCATTTCGCACGAATGGGCAAGCGCAGCGGCGGGGAATTTTTTCCTACTGCTGAGGGTCCAACGAATGACGCAGAAGTGTTTTCGGCCCGGTTCTCCTGGATCTGGCGTCTTCGTCGCAGTCTGAGATGATGGAGAGGATGGCCCGGATGAGCGTAGGTGGTTGTCGATGTGGGACTCAGTGCGAGAGCATGTACCAAGAATGATAATGACCCTTGCACTTTTCGGGTTCCTGGTGCGCTGGTCATGAAAATGAAGACAGAGGTCCCCGGTGGAAAAAGGCGGCGGTAAAGTGCTTGCGTCGCCGTCGAAGACGAAGTTATATAGTCGGAACTTCCAGAGGCAGTCATGTAAGATGATGTGAAAGGGGGAGCTGGTGGTGGTGGCTTCGCAGAATCGCCTCAGCAACCCCATGCCTGTGGTGTCGTCCTCGGAAAGGTCACCGGTGTACGGCGGCGGCAGGGCCGCAACGCGCAGGTTGGTCATCGTCCAGCCATGTGAGGCGATGGCCGTGCTCGGTCTCTGCATCCACACAACGGATTTTTCTGCAGGCTGGTATAGCGAAGGAGCGCGGCCAGTGTTGTCCTCGTTGTCCTCTTCGTCCAACCTTTCAAGCAAAAGGAAGAGAGGGTTGGGATTTCTGCAGAATAAGTCGACGAGGATGAACCTATTTGTATCATTCAGAGGCAGAACGGCTGCGTGGAGCTCGATTCCATCCGGCGACATAGAGAACGTGGGAGCGCGGAGTTCTTCGGTCGCACTTGCAGTCGAGCCGTCCTAAAATGGCCGTCAATGTAGTACAGTGTAGAACAGTAGCCATACCAGCGTACCCCACGTTCTTCTCTCTGATAGCGGTGTTCGTTCGGTTTGTAGAATACCGGATTCAATGCGAGTGGGACTCCATAATAATCTGTGTTTCTTGGCGACGGTTGAAGGGGGAGAAGATGACGATGTGTTCGGCTTTGGGGCATCCCCTGGAGGGCCAATTGGAGGTCTCCCAACTCATCCACATACCATCGTGTTCCCAGAAGAAAAATCGAAGGATCGCGCGAAGTCTTTGAGATTTCCATGAGGAGCCGGCAGAATGCGTGTCGGCCTTCGCCGTAGAGCGTCGGCATGTTGACCCCGAAAAGCCCGAAGAGGCTGTAGGCACCGTCTTCCGGCCTCGTGGTTTCCCGATGCGCCGCCCAGGATATGCGTGTCGCGATACTAGCGTCGGCAAACGAACTCTCAAAGCGGAGGACTGCCGCAGAGATTCCAGTTGCCTCTTCTAGGCGGTCGGCGAGCTCGTACTTGGTGCCCAGACATATCCAATAACTGGAATAGAACACGACGAAGCGGGCCGCGATGAGCTCTTGGAGAGTCCAGCCCCGCCTTTGCCACTTGCTTCGTTTGAATTGACCGTCTTGGAACGGATCTGTGTGTGAGTATCCGACGTTGCTGAGGTAGACGCAACAGATTCTGGAGAGGGCGTAGTAGCGGAACATGGAATTGATGCCTTCCGAGAGCTCGGCACTGCTCTCCTTGTTGATACAGCACGTGTCGACCCAAGCGTACTCGTACCCATGCTTCTCGGCGAGCTCAAGGAATGATCGAACTTTTGGAGTTAGGCGATCGCGTGGGTTGAACCATGGTGGAGACGGCCGGCGTGGCTCAGAAATTGCTTGGACGGGTATGGGAACAGGGGACAACAGCGTCGTGGGAGTAGGCGGCTTCGAATCTGTCGAGAAGCCTTGGTTCGCGTATGTCAGCGCCGAGGAGGAAACACAAGCTTTCATTAAACTGACCGGGCTCGCATTCGGTACCGGCGGCTATTCTCCCGTCTTGGTAATCCCCGTCTTGAACGCGATCGCGGACGACAGGAGAAGTCTCGTTACGGCGGGGAGGACGTAGATGTCGTAGCAACTTGACCGTGTGCATGATTTGGGATTTTACTTTACAGAAAACATTCTTTAAGTTTCTGCGAGCTGCAGATTCTTTTGGGACCGCCTCGGAGATGAGAGAGCGGAACTCGTTGCGGAGAACTGCCGCTTCTTCAGAGACTGCCTGGGCGACGAGAGAATGGAGTTCATCGTGGAGAACTGCTGTTTCATCAGAGACTGCCTGAGAGTTGAGAGATCGGAGCTCGTCACGGAGAGCCACCGCTTCTGTAGATACTGCCTGAGAGATGAGAGATCGGAGCTCGGCTCGGGGCAAGTAACGTTGGTCTTCCGGGGAGAGGGTGCTGTTGGATTCTACGTTCAACTTTTGAACCTTTTGAAACGTCTCTTCTTCCCCCTCCCAGGTGTGCGACAGGATAGCATAACCTCCAGGAACGTCTTCGGGTTGGGGAAAGAAGACGAGGTTCGCGCGCGCAGTGCCTAGGAGCCACATTGCTTCTATCACAAATATTAGCACAGGTATTCCACGCGAGTGCAGGCACGAATACCGGGTGCGAGTTGGTTTGTACGATTTTCTGGAGGAGTAAGTGCAGACACTTCGGGGGCATGAGAAAATGCGATACAGAGCATGTGAAGAGCGGGCGTACAATTCTGAGATTATCAAAGACGGTCGATGGTTTCTGTGGGACTTGGTATCACAGAGGGAGCTGACAGTGGCTGGGAGGAGGTGCAAGATGAACGAGACGGGACGTGGTATCGGTCGAGGGCGAGACGAAAGAGTCCAAGAGCGAGGGCGACCCCAGTCTCATGCACCGTCCGCACGTTCCACCGTGCAGAATACCCACGCGATAACATCAGAGCGCCTCTGACGATTCTCCCGAGATATGAAGGCGCACAGAGTCCGGGCCGGCTTTGCGCTCTCAGGGCGAGATGACCTTCCCATCCTCGAACAACGTATCAGATGCTATCGTGTGCGTTCGCTATCAGTGGGCGAAGCCGAGAGCACTCTATGTCAATTGTCGAGAGGCACATGATGTGGTCCGATACTACATCTGGCGGATGTACGTACAGTGGTAACGCCCTGGATGTTCGACGATGCCTGGATCACGAGAGTGGACGTATCCGATCAGCAGCGCTCGTTCAAAATGACAGTGCATGCGTGCGCATAGGCACCATACGCCAGCTGGGTGCGAAGCGGACCATCTCCAGCAACAACAAGCGCGATAACATAGATATGTTTGGCTGCACAACCTCGAACACCCATTGTTTTGAGCGTAGATAAGCACCCCAGAGATACATGGCAGCTGATCCCAAGCATACGCAGGTCGGTCACGGTTACCGATACATACCGTTGCAACGAGGATTTAAGCGGACTTGCCGCAGCGTTTCGCTTGCCGATGATGGCACATACCACGGTCTACGCGCATTGTGAACAGAAATATCGCCCGAAGCTTGCACCAACGAGACTCTCGAGCAGTCATACGAGTACGTCCGCGTGCGCGTGAATAGTCAGATTACTTAAGAGCGGCGGAAGAGCCGTCACCAGTATCCAGGAGTACGAATGGAAGCGCGTTGAGTGCGGGAAGGAGGAGAGGAGCTGGCTGCGGACTCACATGATCACCGCGGTGCGCTCGACCCCGCTAACGTATGTCCTGGACCAGGGATTCGGGAATCATCATCGTGCAAGTCGATTCGAAACGGCGAGAACATGCACAAGGTCGTGGTGCGGCTTGAGACCCTGAAAATGCACAACTGGGAGAGCTTCCACACATAAAATGCTCCGCGTGTTTTGGGGATGGCGGGGGCTTGAAAGGGTCGAAGTTGACGCAGTCTGAGTTCACTCGGGCGGCACCCACAGGCACCAGCGCCAACCAGACCACGGTCCGCATTCTCCGAGGCGTAGACGCGCATCGTCATCAGCGATTCGGCGCGGCCCAGCTCTGTCTGGCAGCTCGTCCTCTTTCCCAGCCACGCTCCCTTCTCAGGCCACGCCGGCTGCGTACGCACCTCTCGTCAACCCACGAGGCATGCGCTCAAGGCGACGCCGCAGGAGCTTCTACGGGTCGTGTCGTATCGACGCTTCCGCAAGCCGAGAGATGGGCCTCAATGTCAATGCACGAGGGTTTTTATGGCACGGGATATACACGCGACGCGTCGCTCAGCCAAGGTCTGTCTGTCCATTTTGAACGGCTTTTTTTTTTCCACCTGGACGAACTTCTGCCCTTCACCACAGACGGTATCAGTCCTCCAGGTCGGCCTTCGAGACACTCTTTGAAGTTGGGTCCTTCCATCTAGGCTATTTCAAGTAGGCGACGAGGATACGCGGATCCAGTCACACGTCAGGATGGGTGGAGGCCGTTCGCAGTGCGTTTGACTCGCACCCCTACTCCATACCTGTTTTCTTACGGTCGTTGTTCCTCTGCTCAGGAATCGACGGACCCAAAGATCGCACACGAACCCGCGGGTAAAGGCATACGGAAGGCTGTGGCGGATGCATGAGATGGCTGGAGGTGTTTCAGTCGCTGTGGTCGATCATGAACAGCAGTATCACGGTGCTCTTATGGTACGTCCTACTCCTTGGATGTCTCGTCCGTTTTCAGTCGCCCTATATTCTTCCGAGCACACCCTTTTTCCGATGCCCGTGCATATAGTCAGACCCATCGTTATACACATCCTATGCGCTCCGTAAAACGCGTCGTCCAACGCCCAGCTAGTACGACCGATGGGGTGGTCCAAACCCTCTCACTCGCTCCGTGGTATGTCTCCTTTCCTTTTGCACCATCTGTTCTCCTCATCTCCATGGGCCTTCGTTTGCATATCCCTCCCACTCGCAGAAACGACGATTCAACCCTTTCCTCGTGCCCGTAACCATTCTGGAGTGGGGAAAATCCCGCCGACGAGGGCCCCAGGTGATGGATGAAGTTCTGGGCGGGACGACAGCGCGGCGACGCACTCGAACCGCCGATCGTGCAGGAAGCTCCCGTCTCTGCGTTGCGTTTCTTAAATGCTGTCCTACTGTTACAACTGGTGAGCGACACACTAGACCATATTTCCGCGGCACCAACTCCCCTCTCATTACAGCCTGCTGTGCGCTCTCCTCGAAAACCTGTCGAATCGACTCTCTGCGGACCCACCCGAACTTCCTCCTTGGCTGAGCCTTACGCCCGAATCGACAACGCGGGTTGTCAGAGCCCTGAGGCGGAAGGTGAGCTTTGTTCGCTTCGCCCTGTCTATATTATATCTGACGCTTTTCACCCAGGTTGTTTCTCACTAGGAGAGCGATTGGCAGATGAACGTCGCCCTTTTTGTGCGTACTGCGCGCTCGAACTCTCGATTCAGGCGCTAATGGGACAGTAGGACATCAAATACAACGATCCGACCATTTACCCCGACGGGGACGCCTCAAAGATGATGTGGTCGAGTCCATCGACCAAAGCTTACCGAGGCCGAGCGTGGACCTCTTGCAAGATAATCATCGAACCCGTATTTGGAAGAACTGATGGAGATGCGCATAGGCGATTCGAACCGGTTGGAGGTGTTCCCCTCCCACTTCACGCGAATGTGGATGAGCAACGTTCCGTGAGTCGACTCCTGCCTCGTTGATGGCTTTATCTAACGCAGGTGGAACAGGAACTACACTGCCATGAACACCATCAGCTACCATCTACATCGTGGCATACCTCCAAGATGGCCATCGGGCGGCTGTGGCGTGAAACTGTTTTCTGTCAGCTGGGCACCATCGGGGAAGACTCCGACGAGACCTTTTTTCATATGTATGTTGCTCGCTCGCTGCTGCACTATTCATGCTGAACCTTCCCAGCGGGTACACTCTCTTTCTCCCTGACGAGGTACTTCGCTACATGAGATGCAACCGGATCGTCTCCCACTCCATCACAGACGAAGCCTGTCATAGGTCGCCCGCCACCCCCGTACCCCCTTGACGAGCTCACGAAGCGTGTCAAGACCTTGATCCTTGGACACTCGCCGTTCTCCGACGAACATCCGCATCCCCCCCAACGTGATCACGTTTTTCGGCCTCCCCATGCATTTCCAGCGCGTCGCCTCCCTCACCCACTGGCTCTCCGAATCCTGCGCACGCATCCTCAGTGGCCCCATGGTATCCGACATCGCCCCCTACGGCGGCGAACACCCGATCCCGGTCTCGGACCGCAAGCTGCGGTGCATGCTTACGGACCCGTGGCTTGTCAGCCTCGATCCCGTGCTCGCGACCGCGCTGCACTCCCCCGTGCTCACCGCGCTCCCGTCCGGCTTCGCGCGCACGTGCGCGACGACATCGCCGTGTGGGAAGCGCCGCTCGAGCCAATGAGCGTAATGCACATGTACATGATAGGTCACCCGCTCGCGTGGTGGTCGCCACAGGCGCCATTGCAGCCGTGCACGCTCCTCGTCCTGTACCGCGCGGACGTCGTCGCTCTCAGCTCGCTCGTCGAGGCCGAGTCGGTCCGGCGCGTGTTTGGGGACCGGCCGACAGCGCCGGTGCCAGGGACGGTGTTCGTGCTCACCGGGCTCGAGTACGTGCACCGCAGCAAGTGCGTGCAGGTCAGGATGAGCCCCGCGCGGGTGGCACGGACGCGGAAGGAGAAGCGGAGCGCGGTGCTGTGCCGAGACGACGATGGGTCCCAAAGTGAGCCAGCTTTTTGCGTTCAGAGGTTGGTGGTTTGACTGACGTTACCAGAGCTTAGGGTTTGAGGCGAGCGAGCAAGGCTTCAGGCGAAGCTTCAGTGCGCTAGGACCGCATGGGCGCCGTAACCTAAGCAGATACAGCGCATCCCCTTGTATGAACAGTCGGAAATAATGGTCGGTTATCGTGACAGTCGTCCCGGGCCCCAGCGAGCAAGTGGATAGCAGTTGCGACGGGTGCAGGCGAAGTGCGTACCGGACGGAGCGCTCCTAAGTAGCACTCGCAGTGCAAGTGATCGACGCAAATTTAGAGTCCGTGCTGCCTGCGGCGATCGGTCTGAACCAGCTGGGCGCGGGACGCGCCCCCGGCCGGTCAATCGATCACGCCCCGAGCTCGAACCCGGCCGCGGCGCTGGGCGCGGCTGTGCATGTGAGGCCTCAAGGATCCCCGTGGCAGCGCGCGAGAGTCCGACGTGCGCCCGCCGGAAGCTTTCAACGTTTCAACCTTCAGGCTTTCCGCCCGACCGTCGCGCTCGCGGCAAGGGATGCCGGCGGGGAAGCTAAGTACCGTGATCGGGCGCGGGCGCAATCTCCGTCTCCTCCCTGGTCCGCCGCGGGCGTCCAAGTACTCGGTACTCGACCGCTGACGGTAGCCTGCTACGAAGGGCATAAATTTCTCAAATGGCGGGCCAGCACGCACACTCAGAGGCAGCTTGAGTTTCGTGCGCCATCTGCACGATCGCCCTGCGGTGCGGCGAGTGTGGGCGATGGGCTTCGGACGGCGGAGTTCGCATCCGCACGCGCGCGCGCGAGGCGGTGTAAGGGTTTGCCAACGGCGAACTGCGCGCGGACTCCACAAGTTCTCATCCCACAGAGCTTCGATGTCAAGCCCGAGCGAAGGAGGGCGATTATGCATAACTAGATCGCAGCGCGACGCTACACGTGCGGGGCAGTAGGGTATGTACGACAACGACGGCAAAAGACAGTAGCGCTAGTCCACACCACAAAACGGAGCGTGCTAGCGTGGGGGGTGTGTGCTAGTCCAAGTGAGAGAGGAAGGCGAGGGAGTTTGCGACGATCCGAAAGCTGATGTGCGGGGAAAAGAAACTCGGAACTACTAGGAAGTGGCGCCGTGCGCACGCGCACTCCGTGTGGGTAAGTTAGGTGAGAGCTAAGAAGAAAACATGTTCGTGCGCGGGGAACCAAGACGAGACGCGAGGCCTACACACCGTCGCCGAACGCGCGGGGGCAGCGGGGGGTCGCGACGTACGTGCGCGAGCTCACGACGTCGTGTTGGTATACAGCGAGTTGTACGTCGGGCAGAGCTGGTCCCACGCGTCCGAGGGCGAGACGAAGGACGAGACCTCCGCGACGTCCTCCGCCATGACCACCGCGAACCCGGCCTCGAGATGGAAGTCGATGTGGCAGTGGAGGAACCACGGGCCGGGGTTGTTCGTGTCGAAGCGGATCGTGACGTTGTCGCCAGTCGTGCCGGTCGAGACGGTGTCGCGCTGCGGCGGGTTCACGAAGTTGTAGTCGCTCGAGTTCGCGGAGCGGACGACGTAGAACGTGTGACCGTGGAGGTGGAAGGGGTGCGGCTGCCCGGGCGCGTCGGCGGTCATCGGGAACGAGATCTCGATGGACGAGTTGGAGGGGAGGGCGATGATGGAGCCGTTGGGCATGAGCTCGGACGCCGACGACGCGCCGCTCATGATCTGGAGCAGGACGGGGACGGTGGGCGACGTGTAGGTCTCGTTGTTGATGAAGAACGCGCTGCCGTTGAAGCTCATCTCCAGGTTGATCGCGAGGTCGACGCCGCCGACCTCCGCCGTGCCCGGCGGCGTGACGTTCTCGAGCGGAACGAGGTCGGTCTCGCTGAGCAGAACGAGGTCGCTGCCCTGCTCCGTCGTCGGCTCGGTCTCCGCCGCGCCGTCGTAGCGCAGGATCGCCGAGTTGACCCCGCTGTCGAACGACGTCGTGCCGGCGTTGGGCAGCGCCCGGATCCAGTAGTTGTCGACGTCCTGGTCCGCGGTGAGCACGAACGAGTACCGCTGGCCCGCGAAGATCTGGATCTCGTCCACCGTGATCGGCGTGTGGTTCACCGCGTCGACCTCGATCACCGTCATGTTGTGCCCGTCGATCGAGAACGTGTAGTTCGGGTCGCACGAGAGGCTGACGAGACGGAAGCGGTAGCGCTTGCCCTGCGTGACGGTGATGACGGTGAGGTTCGCGCTCGCGCCCTCAGTGCTGGTCGTGCGACCGAGACCGTTGATGAGCGTCGCATCCGAGGCGGTCCTGAGTAGAAGGACGGTAAGCCGCGGGGAAGGACTGAAGTAACAAAGTACTCACGGGAAGCGGGAGCCGAGAGCCGCCGCGGTGTGGTACCAGTCCGTGAGCGTGATTACCGTCGAGTCGTCGTCGACGTCGTACAGGTCCAGGTGCGGATCGTTGGGGTCGTAGACGACGAGGGCGCCGCGGAGGCCGTCGCAGTACTGCGTCGACAGATGGCTGTGGTACCAGAACGTGCCGGCCTGGTCGGTCGCGGTGAAGTCGTAGAGGAACGAGTTGTTGGCCGAGATGGGGCACTGGTTGACGAAGGCGGGGCCGTCGGCCCAGTTGGTGCCACTCTGGAAGAACCCATGCCAGTGCTGTATAGCGCGATCGTCAGCACGCAGTGCGTGTCCATATACTGGGCGTGCTTACAATGGTCGTCGCCGTGAGCATCGTCGCGTTGGTGAGATCGTCGACGACGTTCAGCTGGAAGTTGTCCCCCTGCACCCAAAGTCAGCGGGGAAGCAGTGCGACGAGGACGACGAGACATACCATGTTGCCGGTGATGAGCGGGCCGGGCATCTCGCCGTTCACCACGACCGCGGCGCGAGTGTGGCCATCGGGAGTGACGTCGGCGTTGCTAATGGTCAAGTCCGCGACGGGACCAATGGCGGCAGACGCGAGTGGAACGATCGCAAAGAGCGAGATTAAAGACGTTAAGGTAGGAGGCATCCCGACGAGAAAAGACTGAAGGAATGCGGGGTCGGGTTGGTGTGGAGAAGGGAGTAGACCAGGTGAGTTGGTGTTGGTGAGGAACGTTGGACAGGCTCGTGAGGCTTATATGCGGTGTGAGGCCTTGCGGCGATGCGTTTACGAAGTACTGCGCCATCTTCAAAGGCCGTGGCGGAAGCAGGCTCTACCTGGCGCGCATCATGGCCGCGTGGCCGTGCACGAAGGTCGCTACTTAGTCCTTGCTCCGTCGGGGTCCAGATGTTGGTTTGATTTTGAATCTCGATGGCGATCATCGCGCGTAAACGTTGGCCTGCCGTCATTATACCGCGTGCGCAAGCCCCAGCCATGTTATGTCTGCGCTGCGATTGAAGACCTGTCAAGCAATCCCTGGCATCCGTGTTAAGTATCGGGCACGCTTAGTTACACTTACCAGGTCTTGAGTTCGGCGTCTTCTGAGAAAGACACCTTCTATCAAGGATAATGCACTGAGAGAGACGCGCACGGTTCTCCGTCCGACCATCGTGTCAGCGTGCGTCGCTGCGCATGACGGTGTCATCTGCACAAATCACTCACTTCGGCTGCGATGTAGCTTCTGGTCCAGTGCACTGCGTCATTGCCCGAAATGCGCAGCCAATTGGAGATGGCCAGAGCATGGAAACTAGTTTGCCGGCTTGCCAGCGGATGAGCGCTGAAATGAGCCGCGCTGCGGGCGTCTGTCCGATGCTGATCTCCGTCCACGGCAGTACCCGGCGCTGACTCAGCCACTTCCATTCCGCCTCCGCCGGCCCACGGACTTCTCCGCAGCACACCGCAACGCGCTCCTCCGTCGATGGGCGCCGTCGAGTCGAGGCTCTATCGCCGTAGCCACCAGTGCCGTCACTGCGGGGATGCGTATTATTCAACCGTGTGTACTCTACCAGGCCCGTGATCCGACACGGTCATGAAGTCTCCCGCCTCACGACGACCAGCTCGACACCAGCCGACTGCATATCTATTCCCGAACAGATGAAACAAGACTAGCCGCATCGGAGATAAGAACGCGAGCCCGACACAGACATGAGCTGACACGGGGACTAGAGCTCGTCTTCGGCCATGGCAGTGACTTCATCATCAAGTCTGCAGCGCGACGATTCAAGCGATTCAAGCGATCGGAGGGAAACGTTGTCCGCACCGATACAGGCATCCTAGCGTCGTGCCGTTGGCGAGCGTTGGCGCGACGCGCGGCACCCCATGGAGACTTCGGTGTTCAGTCTGCGTCATTACTAACATCATATGCGGCGGTCGGAGGGAGCGAGTCTGGGCAGGCAACTACTGGGGCCGTGTTCGGTCTTCAAGTATTATAAGTAATGCCGCTCCTCTCGCATCGACCCACACACCCGCTACCGCTCGTACTCTCGTTCCACGCTCCCTACCTGCTCGCTCCATCGCACTTCAACTTCAACTCAGCCTCACTTCTATCGGCACAATGCAGCCCAGGTGTCTCGTCGGTCTTACCTACATTCTCATGATGCGGCCGTGGCAGTGTGTCGTGCGTCCCGTCACTTCGTTGAACTGAGCTGATTGAATTTGTGGCCCCAGGCGCCCTCTGACAAGCCCTTCCATTCCTCCATCGCGACGTTGCCTCTCTCGTCTGGGATGACCACCCGGAAATTCACCGCCACCCGCTCTCCCATGAGCACGACGGACGGTGAGTCGGGCCTTGTTTCATTTGATGCGCCCTCCAACTAACATCTTTCGCCTTATCCAGTCGAGTCCTTCATCACCACACACGCAGGACGATGTGACTAGTCACTAGGTGAGTTGTGCGCGCGCGCTCTGCCCTGGCTCCGAAATACGAATACATGCTTACCCGACTCCCATTTTCAGATAAAGCTGCGCGCATGCACCATATTTTTGTGCTGAAAGCGCGACGCTGTAGTTTTTTTTTTTTTTTTTTTTTTTTTGGATCCTTGTTTATTGCCCTCGAGGGCGGAGCCCTATGGTAGGCATAACATACAGTGAGTTCGTACGTAGTGTATCCCAGAACAATGGAGAGCGTCGTCTTTGCATATGCTCCCTCGGGAAGGATCCCGAAGGCGCAGCGGACCGAAACTTGCCGGCAGGCGTCAGCCGGCGTGCCAGTGAACCTTGTGGGGCTCGGGGTGTGTGTATGAGTGGGGAGTGAGAAAGAGAGACCGAGTGCGTATAGTATGGGTACAGTAGTAGTATAGTAGCGGAAAGAAAGGGAATCCGGGAAACTTTGCAGTGGGGCCGGGCTTGGTTTCGCGTCTGCACCGTTCGTGGGGCGTCTTCACGCGGATGTCTTCTCGCGCTGGGGTGGCTGGATGGGGGGCAAGTGATCAGCGGTGTCACGTACAAGGAGTCTTCTTGACGCTGTAGTTGTACATGATTCTGCCCGTCTCTGTGATCACTGCCTTCTGATTCTGATGCTCTTCGCTTCGTCTCAAATGCGTGCCACTCGGATGCGTTTTCCTCGACTTCTGAAGTTCCGAACGCTCATTGCTTCATTATGGGCGTGAATACGCACCGCAGAGTGACCAGTTGTCGATGACTGCGGCGATGACGCCATGTGCCGGCCCGAGATCCGGGGATTTGGCGACGTACTGCCGGTGCCGGCCGAGCCCAGCGTCCGGCCTCGCGCAGGGCGCCTAGGTCTCGCGCAGTTTTCCCGTCGAGTCCGCCCGCGGCGCGCGTTCTCTCATCCCCTACTACTTTTCGTCCCTCTCACCTTGCTTATCCCTCTTTCTATGCGACACGCGTCCAAATGCGCAATGGTAGTGCGAGAGAAGATTGCTTTTGGCCTTCATTCTCACACATTAAATGGGGCGGGCCGCGTAGAGTGCGCGAGGCATGAAGGCTCCCCAGTCTTCTCCGCCGACGCGGACGAGCTGTTCAGGAAGAGGGATTCATGCTGAAGTAGGTGGTTTTCAACATCTTGTGACTCATATCGAATGTCACCGTCTGCGCCGTCGTGTTTTGTACACGTCAAACTCGGTACGGGGACAACCCATGCGAATCTGCCAGCCGAGTCAACTGTACCTCCGAGATCGCGTGCTCCAGATCATGAAGCGGGAGAACCTTTTCCCGCACCATGGGTCCGAGGTCAGTTCTCGGCGCCTCTCTCAACCCTTTCGAACGGCGCACGACGTCACGAGAAGCCGCCATCGTGGAAGGTTGGTCCGTCTGAAGCGTCGATCGAACGCTGCGATATTCCTCCTCTCACAAAACATGCCTCACGCCACGGCTTTCCCGCCATTCCCAGCAGACAATCCGATCCATCCTCTGCTCGTAGTCGACTACGAGCTTCTCAAGGCACACGATGAAGCTGAGATCGCCAAGCTATGGAAGGCGGCAACTGAGCTCGACTTCTGGTGGTACATAAGCACCTTCAATCTCCCACACCCGTATGTCGCCTCCACTCACGCACTCATCAGCCTGAAGAACCACGGTGCCGACACCGCGGTCAACGCCATGTTCGACACCGGCGCCGCAACATTCGCGCTCCCCCTCGCAGACAAGATGGCCTTCGAGCAAGGCGACGCCGGGTTCTCGTTCGGGTACAAAGCGTCCGGCGCGACGCTCACCGATGCCTCCGGCGCGCGCGACACGACCGACTTCCTCAACATCGCCGCGGACGACGCGCTCGCCTGGCCCACCGTCGCGCGCCGCACCTACCCCGCGCCGGTGAACGCGCGCATGGGCGACGTGGTGGGCCCCTTCGTCCGGCGCGCGATCGAGCCGAACGGGACGATGCTCGGGATCCTCGACGAGAGGTTCGGGCTGCCGCGCGGGACGCTCGCGAGCAGGCATCGGACGGACGAGTGGAGCGAGAGCGAGGCGCGGGTCACGCGGGGCCCGCCGCGCGGGCCGTCTGAGGGCATCGACCGACGACGAAGCCAAGGCGGCGCTCGCGAGTCGCCGCTCGCCGCTCACACCGACTTTGGCAGCCTGTCGTTCTTGCACAACCGCCTTGGGGGGCTGCAGGACATGGTACCTGGCACGCAGACGTGGCGGTATGTCAAGGTGGGTCCCCATCGCACTGTCGCGCCATCGAGTTGACCGCCGTCTCGCCGCGATACAGCCCATTCCCGGCCACGCGATCTGCAACGTCGGAGATGCACTGACAATCTTCAGCGGTGGCCTTCTCAGGTCCAACCTCCACCGCGTCGTGTAAGCGTCCCATCACACGCGCACCCTGTCTCCACTGATTCGGCTCTGAACAGACCTCCTGGAGAGCAGGCGCGGTACGAGCGATACTCGCTCGTCTACTTCACCCGGCCCGGAGACAGCGTCCGTATGGCGCCGCTCGCGGATCAAAGCGCGATCATCGCCGATGCGGTCGCACGCGGCGCGGCGCGGCACCTGCGCGAAGTGGTTCACGCGCCATGGGTGGAGAACATGCGTGTCAGCAACGAGATGGTGCGCACGCTGATGATAACACAGCTGTTTGCGGCTGACGAAAACGCAGGGAGCGAACGGGGATGTGTGGAACGCCAGCCGCGGTGCGGAGCACGAGCCTCACCTGGCGTAAGCATTGGTCTCTTGGGTATCCTGCATCATAGTGTAGCACTCAGTCGTCGTCGTCTCATGTCATCATCTTTCAGCTTGAGCCGTTTCGTTCGGCGATCGGCATGATGAAAGCACGGTGACGTGCGCTGCCGCCACGCGATCGCACATCGAACTGGCGTATGCGTACCTGTGCTTCGTGAGCGCGCGCGAACACTCCGGCGAGCGGCGAGCGGTCCTCCGAGCTTTGAGATTGGAGTCCGAACGTCGCGCGCACACGCAGACTTGCCACTGTCCGCGGCCAGTGAGGCACCGGCGGCCGCGCGCGATTTCGGACGCCTCTGATGCCGTGTCTCGTTGCGGTCGTCGCCGTACCAACTGCCGCGGAGGGTGCACACTTGTGTGCTCATTGCGGCGGTAGCACATGCAGCGAGGAGGACTCGTGAAGCGTCACTTACCGCACATCTTCCGCGCATTCTTCGCCCTCGGTGGGTCTTTGGCTCCGCGCGAGCCCGGCGGTCGCACGCAGTGCAGACCGAACGGGCGCCGCTGGAGCTATCACCTTTGTGAGCGGCAGTTATGTGGAAACAGATCGAGAGGAACATGTACATGATCAAGTCACATACCACGGATACTTCGAGAAAAGCGCCGGGATCTCACCAAACCACCACACCGGTGCGTTTCCCGAACGATGGCGTCGTCTGACGGCGTCGATGAGGCGAGAATGACAGAAGAGAGGGGAGGGGAGGACACACGGCGGGGAGCAATCCTATTTTTCCTGATGCTTTTATACCGCTATGAACAAGAACGGTGGCGGAGTCATCTGATGCAATCGCACGTTATGGGCGAATCTGAGACATGTCCAGGGCAATCATTCCCCGCCACAACAGAAAACCCGAAAGGAGACAACGCAAACAGCGCCCACTGTTTTTGTGTCCGGCGCCCAGTGTGCCAGTCATCGAGCAGCGCCAGGCTTGTGGGTTCTTTTACAGATAAGGGAAAGTCTCCTCATATGGATCGATGTACACAACACAAACGCACTCTACGTGCTGACAGATAACGAGTGTTTAGACACGCGGAGCCTCACCTGCAGCGTCTCCCCGCGCAAACTAAACGGACTCCGCATGAACGTCAAGCACACAACATACCGCCAACCCCCGCACTCGCGCTCGATTCGCCTCGCATCCTGTGCTTTGACGTGATCCGCGCCGCACGAGTGCGCGGCGCCGTCAGCGAGAGCCCCGTCCATCGTGTCGTACCACCGAAGGACGCAAAAGTGCGCCTGCGGCCCGTCCGTCCCGGATGGACCGGTGGCCGGTGTCGGAGAACTTGGAGAGTCGAGAGAGGGACTCGTCGGAGACAGATGAGGATGAGGATGAGGACGGGCGGTGTCGGAGGAGGTTTGGTGGAGGTGGGAGTCCCGACATGTTCCGAGCGAGATGAGCAGGACGGACTTGTCTGACGCCTGCAGCTTGAAGTAGAGGACGAGGGACGTGAAGGGCCAGGGTACAGGACGAGGTATGGTGCTCGCGCGCTGACTAAAGCTCGGAGGGGACAGGTCGTCGTCCAGAGCCGTGGAGAGAGCGCGGAAGTCGCGGAAAGAGAGATGGAAGGGAGAGGCGGCGGTTATCGCCTCGACGAAGTGCTTCAGTTCGACCATCTCCTCGTGATGGTGCGCGGAGGGGTCTGTCACGTACGGCGGGCGCGCGACAACGCAGACGCTCGACATCACCCAGCGCGTGGCAGCCAATTCTTGGAATCCTTTGAACATGCGCACGACGTGTGTCTCCACCGGGTGATATAATGGCAGACTCCCGGCGGAAGTGTCGAGAAGCTTTTGCAGGATGATGTAGCGAGGTTCCACCCCTTTCGTGCAGGACAGGTCTATGAGCAGAAATGTCCTCGCATCGTCGAGTGCGAGCATGGGGGCCGAGAGCTGGATTCCGTCTGGTGATAGCGAGAACGTAGGACCACGGAAGGTAGACTTGGTTTGAAGCGCTTCGTCCTGCTAATGTAGTCAGCTAGTCTATCACTGTACGATCATCGCTCAATCGCACCATGGATCCACTCGTCCGAAATACAGCGTGGTCGCTGTATCCGATCCTGCCACATCCATCGAACTCCTTCGGGGTCGATGGAAGGATATGCCGAGCATGAGTATCTGCCTCTCTAAGATCGGAAACAAGGCCGTCAAGACTCTGGACGTCTCGAGCCGATCCCCAGAGGAAGAGAGTAGGGTCTCGTGACGTCTTCATGATCTCTTCCAAGAGTCGGATGAACGCATTGTCGCCCTCCCCGTAGAGCGTGGGCATGTTGACCCCGAAGAGCCCAAAGAGGCAGTACGCCCTATCCTCGGGCCGCGTGGTCACCCGCTTCGCCGCCCAGGACATGCGCGCAGCGATGCTCTTGTCCGTGAACGACACCCTGAGGCTGAGAATGACCGCCGGAATTCCCGTGATGTTCTTGAGAAGGCCGGAAAGCTCGTGCTTGGTGCCGAGGAGCGTCCACTGGCGAGAAAAGAAGACGACGACGCGCGACGCGATGAGCTCTTGGAGTGTCCACCCACGCGTGTGCCACCGGCTTCTCTCAAAAGCGCGCGCCAGATCTTCCGAGGTATCTGGATCGGATATCGGACCTGAGAGCTTGACCCCGGCGGTGTGAACGTCGCTGAGGTAGACGTAGCAGACTTCGGAGAGCGCGTAGTATCGGAACATGGAGTTGATGGCCTCGGTGAGTTCGGCGCTGCTCTCCTTGTTGATGCAGCAGGTGTCGACCCAGGCGTAGTCGAATCCGGCCTTCTCCGCCCGTTCGAGGAAAGCGCGGACCTTGGGAGTGAGGCCATCACGAGGATTGTGCCAGGTTGGCGTCGTGCGGAACGACTTCAAACCATACGCTATCAGCGTGCAACGTAAAAGAAGTAGCATGGAAGGAATTCGTACCGCAGCAGACGGATCTCGACCACCCGGTATTGCGAACGCAGAGCCACCCGGCTGTGGTGTAGAGAGCTTTGTGGGATCGTCGGTCCCGACAAGATTATCTGCGGAGGCGGAACGCCGAACCGAGACCACGTTCATCGTAGAGATCGGCTGCTTCGCGCTCTTCGGGATGCGTGGAGTGGTTTTCCGTCCAATTTGTGTCGGTAGAGCGTCCAACGCGAACTGTCGATGTGCTTCCTCATTCAGCCTTTGGACAATCTGGAAGGTGTCTTCCTCTCCTTCTCCAGGTTGCATCCACGTGTGAGACAAGATGGCATATCCATTGGGGACATCTTCGGGACGGGGGAAGAAGTCGAGTCTTGCTCGAGCTGTGGTGAGAAGCCACATCGGCCTAGAAGGGCTGCTATTAGCGTAGGCATAAAGCATAAACAGCCATGATACTGACGGGTGACTCACCTCGTAGATGTGATGAAGAATTAGGAGGTGAGCGCGCGACTGATGAACACGCTGCTGCCTGGACTTGAGTACTTGAGTATTCGCGATGCAGAGCCACGGAAGGGCCCACGTACACTGAAAACGGCCGACAAATTGGATCGCAGCTGCGAGAGTATGGTGTGGCTGCACAAGCCCCGGTGTCATGGTGCCCGCTTCGGGTCAAACACGTGGCCTCCGCATCACGTGTTGACGCGTTGAGCTGAAATCTGACAACCTCCTCCTCCTAGGCTCCTCCTCCCTCCTCCTCCTCCTCCTCCTCCTCCTCCTCCTCCTCCTATTTGCACCCAATCTGCACCACTCCACGCGCCCCACCATCGATTGCACCGTGTTCCTCGAGAATATTTCCAAGGATCCTCGAGGGTTCGTGTCTGGCGGCTCACGTATGCCAGGCTCGAGCAGCATCTCCACCAGCGACGCCGAGAACACAGTTCTGGGAAACACTGGGTATGACGCCATCCTCCTCGACGAGCTCGCGCACACCTCCCTCCGTGACGGTATCAACCTCTCCTGCTGCCGCGTCTTTGCGCACGGCGACGCCGCCACGCTCCGCGACGTCCTCCAACAGGTGCTCAAGAAGCACCGTAGCATTACCGCGGGCAAGGTGACGGTCTTCGTCGTCGTCGAGACGCTTGTCAACAATGCCAGTTATGTACACAGCCCATCCAGACCCTCGGGTGACTAACTTTGACTCCTTCTCAGCTCCAGGGGCAGGCGCATTGCCATCAGAGCTCACGCAGCACGAAGAACTGGAGCTAGAGTCTTCCAAAACGAGATAGGTATGTAGCTTTCCTCACGCGTGCACACACCCCCACTGTCCCCCCATGATTGCCACCACTCCGCCCCAAGTCGCGCAAAGCCTTCCTTCGCTTGTGCTATCTCGAAGCGTGTGTTCTAACCTATCGTTAGGTTTACTTCTTGCTATCGCGCGGGACGCTCTGCTCGGGTTCCCACCGTACAACTTCCGCAACAACACGCTCGTGGTCATCGCGTCTCTGTTCGCGCAGATCTTCAACTCGTTCAGCCGCCGGTACAACATCTTCGAGGTGTGCTCAGGGACCCATGGTTCATGGGCATCACGTTCATCGGTGTGTCCGCTCCGATGCCATACTCATTGCTCACGATGTGTCTGTAGAACTCGCCGTCCAGCACCTTTCCGTTTTCATCGGAGGCGTCGTATTTGCTGTCACGCGCCTCGCCGGTCGTGAGTGCGGCGTTTCCCTCACGCTCAGTGTTGTTTCCCTCGCGATCAGCGTCGTCTCCCTCGCGATCAATGTCGTCTCGACCCGCTGGGCGCGCTCATCCGCATGGTTCCCAATGCCCCCTGCAAACACATTCAAGGCGCTCAGGTGAGCCTGCGCTTCCTCCCATCTGAGTTCCTCAATGCGCTGCCTGAAGACCAGTTGACCAGTGTAAGTGCCCCTGCCAAGAGACGGGGGGAGAGGGCAGAAGAGACCCGTTGACCCTAGCATACACCCGCCTACTTATCCCAGTCGTGTTCGTCGGCACGAAGAACTTCTACGCCACGCAGCCTTCGCCGACATCCAGTACACGTCACCCGCCCCTCCCCTCTTGAAGTCTCTTCTCACTCTACATTCAACCCCACGCGCAACCTGCGGCGCTCATCGGCTGTCGTAACCCACCTTTAGTTCCGGCCGCGCTCGGCCGCATACCGCGTGGGACGCGCGCATGTACACGCCGTGGCCCGCGCTCGCTGGGGATGTAGCAGGTGTGGTGGATGGGCTCCCTCGCTGAGTACAGGGCGGGTGATGTAGATATCCTGTGGTTCGGCCTTACGGCGATGGTGTATACAGGGATGCGGGAGCTGGGCGGTGGTGGGGCGAGAGGAGCACGTTGCCTCGGGAAGGCTGCGTTGTATACCCATACACGAAGTTGAAAGCGTTAAGTAAAGTGACCATGTATATATGCAACTATGAATGTTTGTATTTCTGGCCCTGCCTGACCGAACTGGCCGGCCTGGCGGCCCGGACTCCCTGAAACGACCCTGGTACAAGGACGCACGAAGCTGATGATGATGGATTCAAGCCAGAACCTCTAAGTAAGTGCCTTTGTAATGCTATAAGGACGCGCGAAGCGACATCCCTGAAGTCCTGGTAACCTTGATCAGGCCTGCCCAGAGCTCACAGGAACGTTGAGTTGGGAAATCACAGATGGGCTGGCCGGGCGCCGCCGTCCATTCGTATAGATGCACTGTGGCTGAGGCACTCCCGTTCACTGTCAGTGTCTACTCCGGTGAACTAGGCATCTTTGAACATCTGGGCGGCTATTTATGTACGTACATTCACCCGACGTAGTGTCGGACCACTTCTCGACGATCGCGCGCAATGTCTCGGCTGTCAGCTTCGCCCAATGGCAAACACGCCCGATATCACCTGACACGTTCGTGGCAGGGAATGCCATGTCCAAGTCATGTCGCCATGTTCCGCATGGTGGAACATGGCGGCCGCCGGTCGGCGTATGAGACCGGGGTCGCCCTCGCAAGGCTGCAACTTAGTCTCTTCCGTCTCGCCCTCAACCCACCGCACGTCTCCTCCCATCCATCTCGCGTTTCCTCCCAGCTATCGACGTCGACGCCCTCCGTGCTATCAGGTACCGGGAGACCCATTGACTGTCTTGGATACTCTCATCGTACGTCCGCTCTTCCGATGCCCTGTATCACATTTGTTTATTCTCCCGAAGTGTCTGTACTCCCCGCAAATCTTACGCATCAACTCGCACCCGGTATTCGTGCTTGCCCTTGCGTGAAATACCTGTGCTAATATTCGTACCAGAAGCGATGTGGCTCCTGGGCACCGCGCGCGCGGACCTCATCTTCTTTCCCCAACCTGAAGAAGTTCCTAGAGGGTATGCTATCTTGTCGCACACCTGGCTCGAAGCGGACAAAGCAGACACGTTTCTAAAGGTTCAAAAGCTGAATGTAGAATCCAACGGCATCTTCGCCCCGAAAGACCAACATCCCTTGCCCCGAGCTGAGCTCCGATCTATCATCTCCCAGGCGGTCTCTGAAGAAGCGGCCATTCTCCGCGACGAGTTCCGATCTCTCGTCTCCCAGGCAGTCTCCGAAGAAACAGCGGTTCTCCGTGACGACATCTGCTCTCTCATTTCCGAAGCAGTTCCAAAACAATCTGCGGCTTGGAAAACCTTGAAAAATGCTCTCAACAAAGTGAAGTCCCCAATCATGCAAACGCTCAAGTTGCCACTACACCTACGCCCTCCTCGCCGTTCCGAAACCTCCCCCGTCGGTCGCGATCGATCCGACGAGAACCGCCGAGACAGGCGAGCAACCGGTACTGTATGCGATCCCGGTCAGTGCAATTGAAGCTCGTCTTTCTTCATCGGCGCTGACATATGCGACGGATTCAGATCCACGCGTTCCCGGGATACCGTTTCGCCCTACTCCCACACCCGTCCAAGGACTTGCTGAGCCATCCCGCTCGTCGCCACCATGGTTCAACCCACGCGATCACCTCACTCCAAAAATTCGATCATTCCTTGAGCTCGCCGAAGAGCACGGGTACGAATACGCCTGGGTCGACACGTGCTGTATCAATAAGGAGAGCAGTGCCGAGCTCTCGGAAGGCATCAATTCCATGTTCCGCTACTACGCCCTCTCTACCATCTGCTACGTTTACCTCAGCGACGTCCAATACTCCGAGACTGATCCATCGGACGACATGTGGTTCGCCTTCCAAAGAAGCCGCTGGCACTGGCGGGGCTGGACTCTCCAAGAGCTCATCGCGTCCCGCGTCCTCATGTTCTATTCAAAGGAGTGGATCTGTCTAGGCACCAAGTACGAGCTCGCCGATCGCCTGGAAGAAGCAACCGGAATCTCCGCGGCAGTCCTCCGCTTCGAGAGCCCGTTCACCGACGCCAGTATCGCGACACGCATATCCTGGGCGGCGCATCGGAAAACCACGAGGCCCGAAGACGCTGCCTACAGCCTCTTTGGGCTTTTCGGGGTCAATATGCCGACGCTCTACGGCGAAGGACGGCACGCATTCTGCCGGTTCCTCATGGAAATCTTGAAAGCCTCGCGGGATCCTTCCATCATTCTCTTGGGAAAACGACAATACGTGGCTGGGTTAGAAGACCTCAAATCACGCCTCCGTAGAGAGCCCCAAAGCCGGACACGTCGTCATCTTCTCCCCCTCAATCCTTCACCGACTTTTCGCACAGCATCCAGGCCCAACCCTCAGATGCTCTACGACCCGTGTGCGCGCTCACGGAGGGGACGAAATGAGGTACGCTGGTATGGATGCTATTCTAGTACGCTGTACGATATTGACGACTACTTTAGCACGGCTCGATTGCGAGCGCGACCGCAGAACTCTGCGCTCCCACGTTCTCCATGTCGGCAGATGGGATCGAGCTCCACGCGGCCGTTCTAGCTCTGGATGACACAGATAGATCCCTCCTCGTCGACTTATTCTGCAGAGATCCCAGCCCCCTCTTCCTCTTGCTCGAAAGGGTGGACGACAAGCTCGTCGCTGGCGCTGCTACTCTGCTATACCAGCCCGCAGAGGAACCCGTTGTGCGCATGGATGAACCAAGCGCAGCGATCGCCTCGAATGGCTGGAAGATGGCCTACCTGCGCGTTGTAGCCCTCCCACCGTACACCGGCGACCTCTCCGAGGACTCCGCAGTAGGGATGGAGTTGCTCAGGCGCTTCTGCGAAGTCACCACTACCAGCTCCCCCTTTCACCTCACCTTTCGCAATTTCCTCGAGCTCCGAGAGCAGTACATCTTCTTCGACGGCGGCGCAAGCATCCTGCCGTCGCCCTATTCCACCGGAGACGTCTCCCTTTATTTCAACTGCAAGCCTCTGGACGATGTAAACGCAACGCTCGTCGTCGTTCTTGGGACGTGCTCTAACACCAAGCCCCCCATCCACAACCACCTAGTACGCTCATCTAGGCCAACTTCCTCGGCTCTATCATTCCAAACTGCGACGGGTATAGGTGCACCACGCCGAGAACACTTCTACGTCCTTCGTATGTCCGACCTGGGCCCAGGTGAAGAAGCCCCAACCGCCGCGACTGCACATTCGTGCGAGACGGATCATATCAGCATGTACGGACCATGGCCAGTGCAGCGCCGAGCGCAGTGTCGGTTGTGGAGAGCTGTGTTATCCTTTTCTCCCAGCCCGTTGGGTAGACTGGGAACACTGCAAGTGAAAGTCCGGTGATGTGCATCCACCGCCGCTGGTACGTGCACGCGTCCGTCAGACGCCCGCGCGAGCTCCGCGCCCTCACGCACGGTACATCCTCGTCCCGTGCATCCTCGTCCCTCATCCCTACGGTACGCCACACCGACCCTCGCGATCGCTCCGCTTCATAGTTAGCTACCCACCCACACACGTTTCTTCCCCTTTTCGTCCCCCCGTATCCCTCATTCCACGGCCGCCACGGTCAGCCACACTCGTTGCCCCGCTCCGCCACTTGTTTCCCTTATTTCCGGACATCTTCAGCTGCTCGCCATGACACTCCGACTCGTAGATATGTTTTGGGTGTTCGTTTCGGTCGTAGTCACGCTCTCGCGCAGGCCGCATTCGCATGTATTTAGACTCGACTCGCGCTCAGTGTTATCCAGTTCCTTTTCCTCGCATTTCTGTGCGTGCATTGTGTGCTCACTTCTCGACTTCGTCTCTACTCGACCTCAGCTCGTCTCATCTCGTCTTCGTCGCCCATCGTCATCGCACACGCCGCCTATCGACTATCGCCCTCGCCTATCGCCCGTCGTACATCGCCCGTCGCACATCGCCCGTCGCACATCGCCCGTCGCCCATCGCCTTCGTAGCGCCCGTGCGCGCCCCCCTCGTCCGCGTCTATCGTCTCTTCGCTTGTCCTCCTCTCCTCTCCTCCGCGTTCGCGCACTCCGTCCCCTTCCTCCTCCGCGACACCCTCGGACGTTCTGTCCCCCGGTGCTCGTCCCCTCTACCGACTTCCCGCGCTTCACGCCTACGCGGACTCGACCTCAGCCCTCACCCCCTGTCGACTCTTACCGGAGTTCACATCACATCATCTGGAGCCCACCGCGAGGGTTGGATTTAAAGTCCTTTCAGTAGGCCTCTGAGCCGGCGAGTACCTTCTTCTACACACCCCCCTCTCTTGCATTACGCCCTCAAACGGCGGTCCATACTCTCCACCACGGATCGCGAACCTTTCCGCCTTCGGCTCGTCGACTGGAACAACCCCCGAAACCCGCGCCGATCCGAGTCTACCGGATCATCCCCGACGTCTTCCCGCTTCGAGTCTCCAGACCCATCACCGCGAATATCCCCACTTCTATCCCCTGTCTACCGATCTGTTACCCCCAACGCGCCCCCACCTTCAGAAGCATCTAGCTTTGCAAACCGCGACGAAGAACTCCTAGACCTCTTCCGCCTCGCCTTCTACCTTCCGCCTCCGTCCCCCGAGATCCCAACTGCTCCGACACCGCCACCCCCGCCTCCGCTAGTCCTTCCACGTCCTTTCATCATGACTTATCGCATGCCCGCCCGCGGAGCCGCCGGAGCCCCATCATTCGATCCGGAGGGTGATCCGCGCACCATCCTCGGTTTCTTTGACGATCTGGAGTTCTGCCTCGACGAAGCTCGTATCACAGACGACGAGTTACGGAAGAAACACGCAGTCCGATACGCCCCCGACTCGGAGAAGACCATATGGCGCTCTTTCCCCGAATACACCGACGTAGCCCAGACGTTCGACGAGTTCAAACAGGCGGTAACTAAAGAATACGTCGGCGAAAACGGGATCGGACTATTCAGTCGACGCGACCTGGAGATCCACGTCGACGCGGCAGCGAACAAAGCCATGGACGCCGTCAGCACGTTCAACGCGTTCAGCCGTCGCTTCCGGGACATTGCGGACTTCCTCATCGTGGGCAAGCAGCTCCAGGAACACGAACACGACCGAATCTTCCTTCTCGGATTGCCTCCCGCCCTGCGCGCCACTGTCCTCGAACGTCTCCGTGTCGTCAAACCCACAGTCCTCTACCCCCGCGATCCCTACTCCATTAGTGACGTCACGGAAGCCACGCACCACGCCATAGAAGCAACGCTCGTTGGGACCATCGCAGGCAGCTCACACGCGCAAGTAAAGGCCACTGCGGTTACCCCTGTCATTAAATCCGAGTTCACAATGGCTATGGAGACGCTCACTACCACGCTCATGGCCGCGCTCAGCCGAAACCCTCGTGATCTGCCGCCGCATATGACACTAGCCCCAACCCAGCCTCGAGTCGCCGGCCCACGCACCTGCATCTACTGTGGCGACCCGTCCCATCCGATCCGCGCATGCCCACTTGTCACCACGGACACGACAGCCGGCTTGGTACGCCGCAACGAGGAAGGCAACGTGGTCCTTCCGTCGGGTTCGTTCGTCCCCAATGCATTCACCGGCAATACCCTGCGCGACCGAGTCAAGGCCTACCACCAAGCCTATCCGGACGCACGTGGTCCCGGGACAGCACAGCAGCTTCTCTTCGAGCCGCGCACACCAGTCGCCACTGCCCCACCGCCTATATCGCACTACGACAACTTCTACGAGCTCGACCTGGAGCAACAGATCCAGAGCCGCAAACAGGAGTTGTACGCGCTTGAACGACAGCGAGCAGCAAGGCAGAAAACCGCCGAGGCAGCCAACACCACGGAAGCTCGCGAGGAGCGTGCTCGGCGTCGTGCAGTCCGCTTTGACTCGCCCGAGCCTGAGCGTGGCCCTGCAGTCCCACGCGCGACCATCGAGGAGGTCCCGGACGAAGATGCTCCACCCGCCGCCGCCGCGACCTCGAGCACCGAGCCGAGCAGCGCGTTTGCCCCCACAAGCATGCACAAGCCTGAGGCGGTAAGCAAGGCACTAGTTCCCCGTGTGGAACACCCATTCGCCATCGCACGCGACGCCACCTACCAGCCGCCGACTCAGCGCAATTTCGCGACACCGCAGAAACCCGCGCATCCCTTCAGCAAGAAGCCCGACCCCGCTTATCGTGCACGCCCTCCGGTCTACAACTCCCAGCACGTCGCCAACGTCTTCAAGCGGTGTCTCGACCAACCTGTCATGGTCACGCGCGAAGAACTGCTGTCCATGTCCCCCGAGTTCTGTGCTGCCACGCGTGAGCTCTGCACCGTTCGACGTGCGCCTGTGGAGCCGGTGCTCACCGCCGAGACGACGGACAATGTCCTCACACCTCCGGTCGACACCAACGACACACTGATGGCATCCACGCGCGATGCGCTCACTCACGACATGCCAGGGTTGTTCTCACAGCTCGCGCAGGAGGACGATCCCCCCATCGGCGCTCTCGTCATCCCGGACCCGGTGGAGATGTACCTCAAGTCACTCCCACCTGGCGAAGAGCCCGAGCCCATTCGCGTCGTGCTCGAGTCGGCCTCGATCCGCGCCATCACGGGCACCTTCCTCAACAAGGTCGACATCTCGTGCATCCACGACAGCGGCTCCAGCATCGTCTCCATGTTGGAGGGAGTCTGTCACCACCTCGGCCTCGCATACGACCCCCGCGTCATCCTACACATGCAGAGCGCAAACGGAGCTACCGACGCGTCGCTCGGTCTCGCGCGCAACGTCGCGGTACGCTTTGGTTCTATCACGGTCTACTTACAGTTCCATGTGATCCGCTCGCCCGCATACGACGTCCTCCTCGGGCGACCTTTCGAACTCCTCACCTCCAGCGTCATACGCTCCAACCCCGACGGCACGCAAACCATCACGCTCCGCGACCCCAACTCCGATCTCGTATGTACTGTGCCTACGGCCCCACGTTCGCCTCCATCCTTCCTTTCGCGCCCTCCGACCTCCGTTCCCTCGTCCCCTGAATCGGATTTTCAGTAGCTGTCGATGATTTGGCGTTCAGCCGAGGAGACGTCGCACTTCTCATTTCCTCTTCTCCCGGCCTCCCTCTCTCCGCCCGCATTGACGCTTTCTCCACGCTCGAACCCTCCTTCTCTCCTTCCGATGTCTCTCTACTATATCTCTCCGCATGTGCCCCTTCCCTTCTGAATACTGATTCGCTAATAGACCCCTCTTTCCCATACCTTGCATCCGACATTGCACCCACGTCTCAGTCCGCTTCTTCCTTTGTACACGCGTCCGCTTCCCCACTCAATCTCTCCTATCCCATCTCGCCTTCCTTACCTAATCCTGCGTCCGCGCCTCCCACGACGTTGCCATCCTTCACTATCCATTCCCATATCCAGAACACTGTTCTCTCCCCGTCTTCCCCAGTCTTCACACATCTCCCCCGCAACTTCTCCTCTTCCCCAGATAGCCCCGCCTCTCCCGACAACTCCAGCACCGCCACTCCCGCTTTCCTCGCCGCACAAGAAACGACCAAGAAGAAGACAAGGAAAAAGTACAAGCCTGTCGCACTCAAAACACGCCCCGTGCTCGCGCCGCTACCGGACCAGTTCCGCATCGTGCGCAACATCGTCGGCGACCCACTCGAACACCTTGCGCCACTGCCCGCGCACCCACCCGACTTCCAGCCTACCGGACGCTACACCGCGGAGCGCCGCGACATCGTCGACAAACTCCACGGCGGCGATTTCCTATGGCCGACCGAACGCAAGCTGCTCCACGCGCTCTACATGAAGCACGACAAAGCCTTCGCGTGGCAAGACTCCGAGCGCGGCTCCTTCCGTGAGGACTTCTTCCCACCCGTCCAGATCCCCGTCATCGCGCACAAGCCATGGGTACAGCGCAACATCCCCATTCCGCCCGGGCTGTTCAACCAGATCTGCGACATCATACGCGCGAAGGAGGACGCAGGTGTGTACGAACCATCCAACTCCTCGTATCGCTCGCGTTGGTTCTGCGTCGTCAAGAAGGACGGAAAGTCCCTCCGCCTCGTGCACTCACTCGAACCCCTTAACACGGTCACGATCGCACATTCCGGCGTCCCCCCATTCACCGAGCAGATCGCGGAGCACTTCGCCGGCCGTGCCTGCGGAGGCGCGCTCGACCTCTATGTCGGGTACGACGAGCGCAAGATCGCCGAAAGCTCGCGCGACCTCACGACCTTCCAGACGCCCTTCGGTGCGCGCCGACTCGTCACCTTACCCATGGGCTGGACAAATTCCGTCCCGATCTTCCACGAAGACGTCTGCTATGCGCTCCAGCCAGAGATCCCCCACGTCACCATTCCATTCATCGACGACGTCCCCATGCGCGGCAGCAAGACCGAGTACAAGCTCGCCAATGGTTCCTTCCGCACGCACCCCGACAACCCTGGCATCCGGCACTTCGTCTGGGAACACCTCGTCAACACCGACCGGGTCATCCAGCGCATTGAATACGTCGGCGCGACGTTCTCTGGCCCCAAGTCCGTCCTCATAGCCCGCGAGTTCACGGCAGTCGGCCATCGCTGCACACCAGAAGGACGCATCCCCGAGCCCGGCAACTACGACAAAGTCATCAATTGGGGACCTTGCCGCGACCTCTCCGACGTCCGCGCGTTTCTGGGTACAGTTGGCGTTGCCCGCGTCTTCATTCATAACTTCGCGCGACGTGCCTGGCCACTCACGCAGCTCACGCGCAAGGGCGCCGCCTTCACGTGGGGACCAGACCAGCAGAACGCGCAGCACGACCTCAAGGACGCCCTCATTCGCTCCCCCGCACTTCGCCCCATCGACTACGACTCACCGGCAATCGTCATCCTCGCGGTCGACACCTCACACATCGCCGTGGGGTACATCATCTCCCAGTGCGACCCCAACGACCCATCCCGCTGATACATCGCCAAGTTCGGGTCGATCTCACTCAACGACCGCGAAGCAGCGTACTCGCAGGCGAAGCTCGAACTCTACGGACTCTACCGTGCGCTCAAGCAGTGCAAGCGCGTCGTGCTCGGTCTCCGCGGCTTCATCGTCGAGGTCGACGCGCGGTACATCCAGGGGATGTTGAACAATCCCGATGAGTCGCCCAGTGCCGCTATCAACCGCTGGATTGTCGCGATACTCACGTTCCATTTCACCCTCGTACACGTACCTGGTGTTATGCACGGGCCCGATGGGCTCTCACGCCGCCACCGCCAGGACGGGGATGAACCAGCCGAAGAAGACGACGACAACGACTGGATCGACCGTCTCAACGGGTGCTTGCACCACATCAACGTTGACCCCGCCCTTCTTGCGCGCGAGCTCGAAGCCTTCGCGTCAGCATCCCCTCCCTCCACGCTCTTTGACGTCTTCACGACCGACATCGCCAGCGCGCCCTCCAGCGCCGACATGGTCTCTACCATCCCGCGCTCGCCCGCAGCGCTCGCCGAGGACGACCGCGTCGTCCGCGTCTGGTACTACCTCTCCGAGCTCGTCCGCCCCGAAGACCTCTCCGACGACGCCTTCACCGCGTTCCACCGCTTTGCGACGCGCTTTTACATCAGCGAAGGTTGTCTCTGGCGCCGTGCGCTCGCAGTCGGTGACCGCCTCGTCGTCTGGCCGCGCTCGCGGCTGCGCATCCTCCAGCAGGCCCATGAAGATGCCGCGCACAAGGGCACCTACGCGACCACCGCACTCGTCGTCCTGCGCTTTTGGTGGCCTCACATGCAAGCCGACGTTGCGTGGTTCGTCAAGACGTGCCACATCTGTCAGACGCGACAACTGCGTCAAGTCCTCCCTCCGCCGACCATTCCTCGTCCCCCCGCTGCCCCCTTTCTTCGCGTTCACGCCGACTCTATGCACCTTCCCCCGGCGCGCGGCTTCAAGTACTTCGTCCACGCTCGCTGCGCACTTACGGGCTTCGCTGAAGGCCGCGCCCTCCGCCGCGAACTTGGCAGCGCCATCGCGGACTGGCTGTTTCAAGACATCCTCTGCAGGTGGGGCGCTCTCGCGGAGATCGTCACGGACAATGGTACGCCTTGGATCGCCGCGCTCACGCACCTCAGCAACAAGTACGGCGTCCGGCACGTCCGCATTTCGGGCTACAATTCGCGCGCAAACGGCATCGTGGAACGACCGCACTTCGACGTCCGGCAAGCACTCTTCAAGGCTGCCGACGGCGACGCCTCCAAGTGGCCGCTCTTCGTCCCGCACGTCCTTTGGGCCGACCGCATCACCACACGCCGACACCTCGGATGCTCACCCTACTTCGCCGCGACCGGCTGCCATCCCGTCCTCCCTCTCGACTTCGTCGAAGCCACGTACCTCGCGCCGCCTCCGACCGGGCTCCAGTCGACCGAAGAGCTTATCGCCTCGCGCGCTCGCTCACTTGCACGACGTCAAGACGACCTCGCCCGCATCCACTCCAGCGTCTTCGCTGCTCGCATCGCCGCTGCACGCAAGCTTGAGCGCGATCACGCCGCCGGCATCGTCGACTTTGATTTCAAGCGCGGCGACGACCCCCTTCCCCCTCTGTAGCCGTCGGTAACGGCGGTACGACCCCGTCATGTTGCCGTCGGTAATGGCCATACGAGCTCGTACGAGCTCCGGTCGTGTAGCCCGTCGGTGACGGTCGTACGAGGTCCGGTCATGTAGCCCGTCAGTGACGGTCGTACGAGGCTCCTTCGGGCCGCACATATTAGAATACAGGTAATGAGTGTAGTAGATATCCACGGACGTTCTGCGAACAAAACTTGATGTTTTACGGCCGTGCGCATCAGGAAAACCCCAAAGTGCGAATTCGCACTAATGGCACTAATTTAGTTGATTATCAGCCATTAGTGCGGATTATCGATTAGTGTCTAATTAGATCGGTCCCCTGCGAATTCGGACCATTAGACAGAATAGCTCGACAATTAGCCATGTGCTACTCCGGGTATCTGGGCATGTAGTGGGGAATTAGACACACATTGGGCAGACATTAGTGGTGATTATCACCCTTAGACACGCAATTAGACGAACTTTAGAGACAATAAGCACACAGGTAGTCACAGATTTGGAGAGCTCAAAGCAGATATATTTAAATGTAGAGATATAAGTACTATGCTATGGTGACGCGGGCACGACGGACGAGGTGGGCAAAGCGCCATGCGGGGACGAGACGTGGGTGAACACGGGCGATGCGGGAGCAGATGGACGACACGCCAGACGAGGCGCCGGGCGACGCAGCGCAAGCGACGCGGGGGTGAACGCAGGTGATGTGGCGACATGGGGGGCAAGACGCGGGCAACGGGCAAGATAGGCGACGCAGGCGATATGGGGAAGAAATGACGGCGACGCGGGGGTTAGACAGGGTAAGGCGGGCGACGCTGACCAGGTGGTGATGCTGACACGAGGCATGCGAGGTCAAGGTGGGTGGCGAGGGCGACGCGGGAAGCGAGGGAAAGACCAGTGAGGCGAGTGACGCAGGCAAGGGCGAGACGGGCGAGGGCGAGGCGGCGGAGGTTGGTGGCGCGCATTAGGGGAGACGGGCAAGAGCGACGTGGGTGACGCGGGGGCAAGGTGAATGAGAGCGAGACGAGCAAGAACGAGAGCGAGCAGATGAGAGAGACACGGGCCAGAGCGAGGACGAGGTGGGCAGCGCGGGCCAGGTGGGCGACACGGGCAGTGCAGGCAAGGCGCACAAGGCGGACGCGGGCGACTTGGGAGACACGGGCAAGAATGCATGAGCGGGCGAGCGCAGAGCAGGCGAGATGGGAAAGGCTTACCTCTGAGCACTGAGGTTGTGCCCTCCTCCGTACCCTGTCGTCCGAGGGCATGAACCTTCACGCGCGTGACCGCCGCGGTGCAGGCCTCTTTCTCCTTCGCGGCCCACTCGAGACGAGGAGACCGCGCACCAGGGTTGCATACGGGGCAAGCACAGGCGAACAGCGTTGCGGCAGGCGGGGGATAACGACGGCGTCCCACGGTCACTTTGGGAACGAGCGTCCCGAGCATGTCTATTGGGACGTGCTCGTTGTGGGGATGGGGATGATGGCGCAGGCAGGACCTGGGGAGCTGGTGGGCGAGGTAGGAAGCGCAAGAGGGTGGAGCGGGGGACTCACCGGGGCGGGGCGTGACCACAGACGTCGTCGCAGATTGTGGGTCAGGAGGTTGAGACGAAGGGCGCAGAATACGGGCTGGGGAGACGAAGGGGGCCGGGATGTGGAGGACGGGGAAGACGAGCTTGGTGTCAGCTGCAGGGGAGACGACGAAGGGAAGGACGACGTGCTGGCAGCCCCAGACACGTGGGAATCGACGCGTGTCGCGTGGACTCCAGCGCTTGGCACTGGCTCTGCCAGCAACATCGTCGTCCTCATCGTCCTCACCTCTCCCCACTCCTCTCGCCCGTCTCGCCCTCGCCCGTCTCGCCCTTGCCCGCATCACTCACCTCGCCGGTCTTTCCCTCGCCTCCCACGTCGCCCACGTCACCCACCTTGTCACCCACCTTGTCCGCTGCGTTGTCCTCGCCCTGCTCACCCGCGTTGCCACCTCGCCCACCTCGTCCGCGTCACCCGCGCACCCGCATCACCGATGGCACGACTCACAGCCCTCTCTTATCACTCTCCATCCCATCGATTACGAGCCAGGACTCAAAACTCACAGGATACGCGTATTCAAGCGCTGTCGCGCCGACATAAGCGGGAAGCAAGCTCCCGCCTGCGACGCCGACGTTCAGCCTGTTTTTCTCGGTGAGTATCCATTCCGTCTCTGTCTTGTTCGCCACAGGAGTCACCCACCTCCATTTGACCGTCTCGCTCTAGCTCACGTTGCCCTTGTCTCGCCCTTACGTCGCCTGATCGCCAACTTCATCTGCCTCGCCTATCACCCACCGCGCTCTCATCACCCCCATGTCGCCCCCGCGTTGTCCGCATTCGTCCCCGTGTCGCTCTCTTCACCCACCACGCCCGCGTTGCCCACGTGTCGTCGCCACGTCGCCCGTATCTCCTGCGCCGCCTCTGCATCAACGTCTGTGTCGCCCCCGCATCGTCCACATCTCGCCCTGCGTCGTCCGTCTCGCCCTCGCGTCACTACCTCGCCCTTGTCTGCCTACGTGTCGTCACCACGCTTGCGTTCACCCACGTCTCGTCGCCTCGCCCGCGCGTCGTCCACGTCTCACCCACATCGCACCCTCATCAACATCGCCCACGCGTCACCCACGTTGCCCTCGCCTGGCTCGTGTCGCTCGTGTCTGCGTCACCCACCCCACCCCCGTCTCGGCCCCGTGTTTGCATCACCCCCGCCCCCGTCGCCCCCATATTGCCCACCTCACCTGTGTTGCCTGTTCTGCCTGTGTGTTGCGTCTACGGCGTCATCCATATGGGCCCCTATGTCGTCCTTTCAATGTTACTCTAATTAGCTGCAATATATCTGTGTGACGTTCGAATTAGTGACATGGGAGATCGGATACCAGTGAATTACACCAATTAGTGAGAGAGCCGCTAGAATTATTGAGAATAGATGATCGACTGTACTGCTAGTACTCAACTATCATGCATTAGTTGCGACTAGATCCCCCAATTCTGTTAGCCCGATTAGACGAGCCATTAGGACTAATTTCGCGCTGTTAGCGCTAATTCGCATTTTGGGGTTTTCCTGATGCGCGCCGTGGTTACCGCGCGGCGACGAAAACACTGCCGGAGCTCGTACGAGCATGTACCCCGTCTGAGACGGTCGTACGAGCTCCCTCAGCCGGCACGCACCGGAATTGCGGTGATGGATGTAGTACGTAGCCACAGATGTTCTGAGCACGGAATGTCTTGTTTTACGGCCATACGTGCGGTGGTTACCCCGCGGCGATGCACACACTGCCGGAGCTCGTACCAGCATGTACCCCGTCCGAGACGGTCGTACGAGGCTCCTTCAGCCCGCACACACTGGAACAGCGGTAATGCATAGACATTCCGGTGGTGATCTCGGTATTGCTAAGGGCTTGCGGTGACATAGCGTAACGTATAGGTTGTCGTGTTCAAACCACGAGTAGAGAGCAAAATACAATAGTGGTGTTACATACTACGAAAGCATAATTACGAATTTTATACTCAGCAAGAAAGGATTTCGAATGACCTGCTATCTATGCCCCAACTCACGGTCTGCAGTCATGGTTGGCTATGTGTGTCAACACCCGTCGGTATGCGGGAGGCGCGACTGTCTCCTGTGGGTCGACATCCATCTGGCTATCACTATCTGGACGTACTGTAGGCTGCGCCAGCTGTCGCGTGAATGCTGGTGGGGAACTTGCCGCAGCTACAGGAGTCGCAAGTCCTTGTGTGAATACCGGTGGCGGGGAGGCGGGTCGGGTGGGGACACTGAGGTCTCGTGAGAAACTCGGTGGCGAGGGTGAGGTTGCCACCGGGAGTCTGGAGACAGGCGTTGAAGAGCACGCCAGCTGCCGAGTGAAAGCCGGGGGCGAGGATGCGGCGGGCACCGGTAGTTGCGGTGCGAATAGGCTCAATAGCTGCCGACTCCATTCTGGTTCCGGAGAGGACGGCGTTGGGCTTCGTGTCAATACCGGTGATGATGGTGCTGCCACTGGGAGCACAAGCTCGCGCGTGAAGGCCAGAGATGTGGAGGCAGGCATTGAGGTACCCGCCAGCTGCCGGGTGAATGCCGGTGGAGAGGACGAGCTCGGGGATCGCGTTGTGTTGCGGGCGAGACCTCGTGTGAACACCGGTGGCGACGCTGCTGGGGGCACAACCTCGCACGTGAAGGCCGGGGGTGTGACGACAGGCGGTGAGGGCGAGGATGTGTCGGCCATCTTCAGCAGCTGACTCCATTCCGAATCGGAAGAAGAAGGCGATGGGGAGAGCGCAGGCTGCCTTGTGAATGTAGGTGGGAAGGACGTAGAAGAGGAGACGGAAAGTCCCCGCGGTGGGGACGATGGTGTGGTGGGAAGGGCGTGCTCCGGCATCGAGGCTGGCGGTACGATCGTCCCAGGAGAGAACATCAGGTCGGGGCGGTGTGATGTTTCGTTTGATCTCTGGGCCCACAATTCGCGCATATACTCTGCCATTGAGCCTTCGTACCACTTCCACGTCTGCGGATTGGTCGAGGACGAGGATGGGAGAGCGAGCCCCCGAGTGAATGCCGGCGTGGAGGAGGGAGGGGAGGAGGGACGGGCAACTGCCTGCACGAAAGCTGGTGGTGTGGTAGCCGTATTCACCACCGTTGGGCGGGATTCCGGCGTTGGCGGACGTGCGAGCTGGCGGGTGAACACCGGCGGTGAAGAGGACCGCCGAGCGAGCCCCCGCGTGAATGCCGGCGTGGAGGAGGGAGGGGAGGAGGACGGGCAACTGCCCGCACGAAGGCCGGTGGTGAAGTTGCCCCATTCAATACCGATTGGCGGCATTCCGGCGTTGGCGGACGTGCGAGCTGGCGGGTGAACACAGGAGGTGAAGGCGACCGCGTCGGTGGTGCATTCACTGCCGTCAAGCGGGAGTCAGGCGTTGGCGGATGCGCAAGTTGGCGGGTGAACGCCGGTGGTGAAGAGGACCACGTAGAGAGCCTCCGTGCGAATGCTGGCGGGGACGAGGAGGAAGGGGAGACCGGACGGGCAACTGCCCGCACGAAGGCAGGTGGTGGGGTTGCCGCATTCACTACCGTTGGGTGGGAGTCCAGCGTCCGCGGACGTGCCAGTTGGCGAGTGAACGCCGGTGGTGAAGCGGACCGACTCGGTGGTGATGCTGGACACGTCGAGGGGACTGTGAGTGGTTCGGTAAGGACCGGCAACCGGAGGGGGGCAACGCCAGTAGAGGGCGGTAATGACGAAACATCACGGTCGTCTTCCAACTCCCAAACACTCTTCTGGTAGCTGTTGGGATCGACATGTTTCTGCAAAATAGACCATCAGAAATGTCAAAAACATATTGCAGAGGGCGCATACTGTGGGGAGGTTTTCTAGGATCTCGAAGAATACAGCGATCCGGTGTGAATCCTCGTGTTCGGATGACAAAGGCTTCGCCTCATCAACCACAGCCCCCACCAGAGTCACGGCAATGGCAACACCGGAAGGGAAGGGGGTGTCCTGAATCCCACAGCGAAACTTGTATTCCTGGACATACCAGTCCGTGCGAGTCTGGCTGACCGACGCTTCTACCGCATGAGCGATTCGGCTCATCGTTCGCTTGGCGACTTCAAGCTGGCCATCATGGTCGCTCCGGTGAGTGGTGTCACCGATGCATATATCGCGACCGGGGATGTTGATGATGGCGAAGATCCAGTGGTCGCCTAGAATCCATGGGATGTAGATGATACTGTCCACGGTAAAGTCACCTTGAGCCGCGCGTTTGCTGAACAGGTCGACAAGATCCACAGGCTGGAGCTGGGAAATGAGGGAGGAGTAATAATGTTGTGTTCCACCCAGAGCGTCGGCTTTGAATTTCACGACCGCTGTTGCCGCATCCATGACCTCGTCATTGATGTCGCGGTGGTCGGTAATGAGGGATGTGAAAATATCGCACCATGGATGCAACAAAGCCGGGCGCAGGAAGATGGGCCAGATGGCTTCTCCGAAAATGTTGTAGTCGAGGTCATTCTGTTCTTGGAATCTGTGCAGCCAATGTAGTCCAGACACGATGTTGCGCCGGTGCGTGTCAATGTCGCGCAATTGTCGCCATAGGTCAACGAGCCACAGCGGTAGTCGCGTGCGACGATCACCGGGGTGAATTACCGAGCGGAATGTGCTCGGCAATGACCGGAAGTCCTGCGCCTTCGGCAATGGGACAGATGTATGAGCAGAGTAGTGGTCGACGTAGAAAACCCAAGGGGGGAGCTCTTCGGCGGAGACCGGTGGTTCGGCTGAGTACGAGAGAGGGCTGCCGGCGGACCAAGTTCGTGGAGCCACTTCGGAGCAGAACTCACGCTTGACGAGGTCATATACAGTTACAGCCACGGAGGGAACCAGAAGCTGAATTAGTTTTTTGGGAGCCGTTTTGGCCTCCCAGTCTGTGAATGAAACATCGGGGATGTGTCGATATTTATGGTTACTTTCGGTCTCTGTAATCAGTGTCAGGACAGGTGTGCCACGCAGCATCACCGAAACGCACGGTTGGTCAGCGATGGAACTACAAAACCTGGGCGATTAGAACGGCTTCGCAACAATTTATGAATAAACATCACCTAGGATTCGGAGGTTGTACTTCATTGTGTCAGTGGCAGTGGAGGTGCTGAGACAGTGGGGAATGTTGAAACCGTGGGACTGAGGAAGAGTGGGTGAATTAGGTTTGGTTGGAGCGGCGGCAGTGGGCTAGCACCGGGCTTGATCCCGATACAGATCTCCAACAATTTTAGGCGATCAACCAGCGGGCTGAATGACGTGGCGTCTGCTCTGTCACTCTCCCACTTCCAACCAACTTCCGAACACGCCTCCCTGCTCATCACCGCACTCCCCGCATTCTCCCACCACCGAACATGTCTACCCACGCATCTGAGAGCGCCCTTCTGAAGGTCTGCCATGCCGTTACCGAGATCCACTACGCGATGCCACACCGCCCCGACCCAACCACCACACCAGCGGAGAAAATCAAGGAGTGGGAGGACAACTTTTACAAGACCCTCAACATCGTCTACGACTACCAGGACGAGTTCAAATCCAATGTTTGGCCGCGCTACACCCTTGGCGCCTTTTATGAGTTCGAAAAGGCCCGACGCATCAAAGGATACAGGGCCTCGCCATTCAAGGTGGTCCGCATTGCCGACACCGAGGAAGCCAATCGTGCCGGCTATGGCTTCGACTTGGAGATGGTCGGTAATGACCGCGGTGAGATCCACCTCGTTCCGGAAGAGGACGTCAATCAGTGGTACTACCGCAGTGAGTATCCTGTTCTTGGCTGCATTGTTATACTCTCTCATTACCCGCTTGTGCAGGGGCCACATCTACGAAGGCGGCCACAACAAACCACGAACATGCCACCGGCGACGGTATGTTATTCCGGTAACGTTTTGACGCCTATGTCGCTGATCCTGAACACCGATGTATAGGTTCTGACAAGTCGCCCGCTTTTGGTGCGACGACTGCCGGCACCACCCAGACTACCGGCGGTGCGAACACCGGTACTGTGAAGACTTCCGGCATTGCGAGGACTGCCGGTACGTCTAAGACTTCCGGCAGCGCGAAGACCGCTAGCACTCCGAAGAAGGCTGGCACCATCACCGTGCCCCCGGTGGTGAAAGGCACTGCGAAGGCTGAGTACGTTCCTATTGCGTCCTACCTCTTCTTTTGCGATATCATCTTGACGTTTCTTTACAATCACGCTGACAATGTATATACAGCAACGGCCGTCAGGCCACCAAACGTGACAAGGGAAAGGGTCGCGCAACTGTGGAGGCGACCACCGACGTAGACGACGACAATTCCGATGAGGACGTCAGTGAGAAAGGTGAAGGGGAGCCTTTGAAAGGTGCAGTGGTCGTCGGTTTTCATAGCCACACCTATTTTCTAACCTTCGCTCAGAGGTACGAAAGACACGCTCGGCCGCCAAGAAGGCGGTGTCTTTCGTCACCCCCACCACGCCACCCGTGTCCAAGAGAAGGCGGGCCTCATCGGTGGCCCCGGAGCCGCCCAAGAAGACGGCGTTGACGCCGAAGAAGAGGGCGAGGAGTCGTGACCCGAAGCGGACTGCTGGGACGACTACCGATGATGGCGAGAAGAGGGTGTCCGGCAGTGGTGGGGACAAGACCCCCAAGAAGGCAGTCAGGCGAGTAAATCGACCCGCTCACCCTGACCATGTCGCCCCCGAGAAGAACTTCGAGCCATTCCCCAACCGCAAAGGCCGCATCCCGATTTACGTGATTCAAAAGAACGGGGTAAGTGTACGAGATGCTTCGTCTCATACACAACTATGCTTACCATGTACACACCAGCCCAATGCGCACCTCCGGTGTGAGCGGTGCAAGACCGGTGGTACCGACTGCCGGATATTCATCTTCGATGGGTCATACTGCCATGGGTGCCGCGTCAAGAAAGCGGCCTGTGACCTCTCGCCCATCGGGCACGGTAAACTTGGTGCCGCGTCATACCGCTCATACCGGGCCTTCGTGCAGTTGGCAAACCCGGCGATGTATCCTGACCCGGTAATGCTCTCCCGTCTCTTGTTAGGTCTCCAGGACTCGGGGCTCGTCGACTGGTACTTCGACTGGTACTGGGACTTCTACGAGCTACCAGAGGCGACGCGGCAGATGATGATCAGCGACCCGAAGTACCACCTCGATTTGCACGTGGAGGAATGGAAGACCCCGATTCAGAGGGTCGCTGGTGACGAGGAGGTGAATCCGGTACGCACAATCTTGGTATTCGTTGTAACATCTGCTTATCCTCGCTCAGGATTCCGAGGACTACCCAAAACCTCGCAGGACAAGAAGGTCCGGCAGGGCTGTAAAGCCGGATGTTACCGGTGAGTACCGGGCGCCATCGCCTTCGGCAGTCGGCAGTCGGTAGTCAGCGGTCGGTAGTTGGTGCTTATGCCAATTTTCTTTTTAGCGGCGCGTCAACAAGGCAACGAGAGCGACGAAGACGATGCAAGCAACAACGACAACGACAATAGCGACGACGAAGACGGTGAGTTAGTCGTCGGATCGCACACATTGAATACCGGGATCGCGGTTATCTACACACAGATAGCTCGGTACTAACACATCCGCCATAGGTCACCGTAACTCTTCGGAGCCACCGGCCAAGAAGAGGCGCATAAGTGGACGGGCTAAGTCACTTCTCCAAACGCAGCCCCGGATCCGTCCACCTTCGCCGGCATTGGACCCCCGGAACCTGCCGCCTCCCCCTCCTGGTATGTCCTGATACTCGCAACCTGGCGTCGGCTTATAGCGCGCCAGGTTTCAACTTCCTAAACATTCCGTTGACGACTCGCATTCCAGTCGATCCTATGCACGATTTCCGCCCAGACCCCCACGCACCTCTTCCCGACATTCACACGACCATGCGAGCGATGCAACAGCAGATGGGTGAGATGGCGCAACAAATTGCAACCCTCAATGCCGCCGTCTTCAATGGTACATTCTACTTTCTATTCATATCTGCATGCCAACTAAATCATTTCGCAGCTCAAAACCAGACTGGATTCCAAGGCGTGCCCTTCGTCTGGCCCCCAATACCGAGCAGTACGTCCGGTATTCATGTCCACCCGGCAATAACTAATAAGCCTCCGGCAGTGAACCCGTACCATCTGTACAATGCTCAGTTCCCTGGTCACGGAGGTGACGCTTACGGTAATAACGCGGGCCAGGGTTACTACAACCCACAAGCTCCGATCGCCGGCCCTTCAGGGCACAGTCACCACTACGTCCCCCATGAGGTGTTGCAGTCCGCTTCCCCTGCCGGTATGTGACCTTGTCTAACTTCACTCATTACCCACTTGCGCTAATACTTCATAGATCCTTTGCAGAGCGTCGATCCTCCGTTGAACATGGACTGGTCTCGGATTCCAATGCCGATCGGGGTTGCAAATGCCGAGTCCACTGCCAGGGGAAGGGGAAGCGTCGGGAACAACACCCTTGGGTCGTTACCGCAGACTGGTAGTGTCCCCGGTAGTGATGGGCCACTCCCGCTGCCAATGTGGCACTCTACGCCGATTGACATATTGGCTGCGCCCAACAGCGTCACGAAGTCGGCCCTCCCGGTATTGCCTCCTACGACCGATGCATCTGCCCCAACCACTGCCGAGCCACAGCTCACGGCACCCGTCACCGACTCCACCCCTGATGCCACTCAGCGCACCGTCTCCCCCTCCCCTCGTACTCCGCCGCCACTATTACTGTCCATATCAGTACCGCAGGCACGCCCTCCGCTCTTCAG